ATTTTAAAAAAAATGTCATAGATGACTAACATGAAGTAAAAAACATTAAGTGAAAACTGATAATCCTCATAAATATGGAGGCGCACCGTACTCAGCCTAAGTGATACTTCACCACTTTAACTGCTCATTACATTATACTCAGCCCAAGGCTTAAACCTACCACAGGTCAGGACTCACCCTTAATTGTCTTCCCTTTAATGTTTTGTATTTCAGTCCATGGACGCAACTGTCTGAAACATATTCAAAACTAGAGGAAAAACAATGTGTACAGAGCGTTTTTCAGACACTGACACCAGGCAGCTGGATTCACACTGCTCCCAGGAAGCATCTCGCTGTGATGCGTCCGGGGGACAGTCTTAGGGCCGTGACAGCTGTGCTCAGGCAGAAGGGACTCTGCTGCTGCCAAGACAAGGTGGCAAGTTCAGGCCCCGGTGAATCGGCTCTGGGGCTTCTAGACCAGCGCCGTTTCCTCCTCAATGCACAGCGGACCAAAACCAACACTCCGTTCGGCTTCCCCTGGTCCATGCTGGGACCCAGTAAGAGGAAGTGTGGAGGCTTCACATGAATTCATTCTCACCACTAACCAACACATATACAGGAAAGTGCTTAAGCTGGGAGGCAAAGAGGAATTATTGTTAAATGTGTAACTCTGTATTTTAGAAATAGTATAGCAAAAAAATGTAAAGCTCTGATTGAAGCACACACACAGGCTGCTCTGCTCTTTAGTTCAGAGGATGCATTTCCCACCCTACCAGTGAGGTTTAAAGACACACCTAAAATATACGGGAAGTGACAGCACATCCTATCCACAATTCAGCACAAATATCTTCAAAGTTATTTTAAATAGTTAAACTCCAAAAACTCTGAACAGTACTCTGCCCTAAACTCTAAATCAACACAGTTTTTAGCTATCTGAAGATGTAAAGTCATTTAACAAGATAACTGAAAACACACAATTAATTATCCTCGCAGCCTTGCACACAAACGTGAGCTTTCTGGACTGTGAACTTGAGCACTGCCTGCCTTCTCCTCTTTCAAGGGAAGGCCTGTGACCTGGGAGCGGATGAGGGGAGAGGAATGTACTCGAAATTCCATTCCGTTCAACAAAATACGGACCTGGTTTGATAAGCTGCGATGATGTTCTCAGAACAGAGACAAACGCATGTCTCTGAGGAGTAAAAGCAGAAGTTGAAATGGCTTCGGAAGTAGATGAAACCACTTCTGGAATGAAGTACTAACTAGTCATTTCTGCAATTCGTGGCTGAGAAATATTGATGTCATCTTTCTTGGTGCCAATAAAGATTCACAAAATGTCGTAAGAATTTTTAAACTTATAAATAGAAAGGATGAATAAATTGATTCTACAAAAAAGTATTACACAGAATTAAACACACTGCTGTCTCTACACTTGTGACTGAAGGTCACAATTATTACAAAGTGCACTTAATATTTCATTCACTGAGTTCAGGTCTGAGTTAAAACAGCATCCATTTCTGATTTGAGGTTGAAGAAAAGCTAACAGAAGAGGACTAAAGCAGAGACTTTTAAAAAAACCACCATACAATTCAGGATAAAAGGCAATTAATTGTCCTTGTACTATTCTTTTATTAGAATTAAAATAGGCAAAACATAGTCCAAAGGATTGTTCAATGCCTTTTTAGGTCAACAGTTTCTCTTTTTTTGTTTAAATGCATTTAAGTGTGCTAACAGTTAATTCCAGGGCTTGGTCTACAAGTCTGTGTGTATTAGTGACTTATCCTTTCATGTATCAATTACCAGTTGAAGCTGCTGGTCATTTACTGCCACCTTGAGTGCGACCAGAATTAATACTACGCAGAGCTCTAACACATTTTTTCTGTGTGGAGGGGGGAAAAAAAAGGTGTTAATTAGAAGAATACAAACCTTATTCCAGAATACACTCAGAGCCACAAAACACGTAACTTTCAATTATCATTTTTCTAATTCAGCAAGAGGAATGAAATGCCACAGGGCCATGCAGGCGATAAAACTCAGAAAGTGTGGTATTCGGTCCCGTGGTTAGGCGTCTGCCAAGGCAGAGGACGTACAGGAAGTTCCACCCTGTAGGTGTGAAGAGTCAAGGGTAATTTTTACAGTATTTTCCCTTTTACCAAAGAGTCTCAAAGGTTTAATGAGAGGTTATCCCACACTGCGTCATATATTTTTATACAGAGAAGAGGCACTAGAACTTAGAATTTCTGGAATGAAACAGGCACAGCTGCATGTCCCTTGAAGCAACGGCTCTTCCGCAGGGCCGTCCACCCTCCGCTCAAAGCACGGAAGAGAACCGCATTCAGGGGCTGGCTGCCACAAACAGGCGTACAGAGCGGTCCACCCCTCACCGTGGTTAAATACGCAGTGCTGAGCACTTGGGGGTATAGGAAAAGCAGCATCTGATTTGGGTTTAGTAAGAAGAGCAGCATAGGACCCTGGCTGGCTGGGGTTTTTAATCCCAAATTCACTGAAAAACAACAGTGCCACCTGCTGACATCAGAGCGCGCACCAACTGCTTTGAAACCAACAGCTTTGTGAGGAAGCACGTGGCGGGGTGCCCTGTGTGCATGCGTGGGATAAACACACAGGCAAGGTGCAGTGTCTCTGTACTCAGGATACATGTTTTGCAGGATGGGGCAGCTGGAAGTGAATTAACATTAACTACATTCATGTCTTCCTCCCTAATGATCACTTACATGAAAAACAAATACCTAACTGTGTGAGCTATCAATTACTATTAGGCTGCTGCTACTGGCATAAATTAACCAGAAACAAATCTTTTCTAAATGTAACCACAGTAAATTCTTCTGCAAATCTTCACGTAGACCCATACTACATAAACTTTAAATAGAACCAATCATATCACTTAAAAAAACAAAAGACAACAAAGTCAAAAGAAACCAGCCAACTGTGGAATTGTGCTGCTGTTGTTTTTTATTGTGTTTTCAATGGAGAAATACATCATCTGTTTACAAAATAGCTCTTGAAAAATACAAGGAGTACAGATACTATAAAACAAAGCAAACTCCAGTCATGAGACACTACATACATCATGCGAAAGCAACAGTCTGATCTCCAGGTTATGAAAACTAGAATTAAAAAGTCACTACACAGAAAAGGTCCAAGTTTCCAGCTTGGCAAAACTTGGGTGCAGTTACATGAAACGTTTAATAAACTGAATTTTTTCCCCAATGTGTAAACAAAACGACAAGACTAAATCTGTGCCTGGCGATTTCAATCTAACTCGGAAGCTACACAAAGCACACAGACACCTTGTACACTTCCCCTGTGAGTATGACCGTTGTTCCTTCGGTGGTGGGAGAAAAGGCCAAGGTGGCTGTGCAGAGCAAAGACGTGGGAAGCGGAGATGTTGTGTACTAGACATCGCAGAGTGCGGTGGAAAGAAAGCCTCAGTTAATGCATAGCCTAAGGGGGGAGGACTACACTCCAACTCTGGGAAGGTCATTTAGGAGGACAGGGAGAGCTAAGTAACGGCAGGTCAACATGGAAATGCGCGTGTGATAGAATGGAGCACAATGGAGGGCTCGTGACACATGCTCATCAGAAAGGTCGGTTAGGTTTGCTTTGTCCCAACTGAGAGAGAGAGAGTTTATCAGCATCTGGCATCCCTCAGAGTTCGTGAAGATGGAGGTTCTGCTGCTTAATTTTGAGGAGTTATTTTCTTTAAAGAAAAGAGTTCCTAATCTGTTGACGGGATAAAACAAAATGAAAAAGGAGTAGAGAGAGCTGACTAGATGTCAAGTGCTTGCTAGAAATGATTTTTTAAATGTTTCTACACATAAAATTTACTGGCAAATTTTGGTCAACCACTTAAAAGTAAAAATTGGTTTAAAATTCTTGGAGAAAATGCCTTTTTGCCCACATTTTTAAAACTGAACATCAGCTTTACTACAGACAGGAGTTCTGTGGAGTGTACAAAATTCCTCCTATGCAGCGACCCAATGGCCACCCAAGAGAGACACCGTGTTGGCAGGCATCACCTTTAGCTGTCCCCCGGCCTCAGCGTGGCACAGCACACTCAGCTCTGTGCCGTGCAGCCACAGGGCCGCTGGTTTCACACCACGGCTGAAGGAAATACTGGCATTTTGTTCTGTATGAAATAACCCTACCTTACGCATACAAGCGAAAGAGAAAAAGGAAAACAAGGGGAGGGAGCAAAAAGCTTTGTTTGTTTCGAAGACAAGAGATTGAAGGCAAAAGAAAATGGAGCTTTAATAAGCTCAAAGAAAAGTATTTGCTGGCTGATCGCTGATTTATATGCACTCTAAACAAGTCTATAAATAAAACCAACATATCATTTCTTAATCATGACCCCATCAAACCAAGTATTTCCTAATTATTCTTTCAATGTTAAATATATATCCTAGAATTGACGGCTCGCTTGGAAGGCTCACAGCTGCCTCGCAGGGACTTGAACTAGACGGACTCTTAGCCTTTCTCTGAAGGACAGCAGTACACCTGCACAATGGTATCCAATTTGAAGATTAATGGTAAAGGAAATTCTTCAAGAAAAACTGAAAATCCATCAGGCTGAACATCTAAAATTAGTTCTACTTTCTAATAAAAGAAAAAACCCATAAAAGTGCATCATCAGAATAAGGCATTCTTATGCCAGTTTGTATCGCAAATTTGTCAAACAATGCTTCGAACATAAACCCAATCCAGATGTCGATTAGGGATACAAATAGAGCTTGAGGTTGGTTTTTTTTTTTTTTTTGCTTTTTTTTTTAAAGGCAGTAATTTTTTGAAATAGTTAATGCAACTGCTACTAACACAATAATAGTAGTACTCCTGGCTTCACATACTGACCTGGACTTCCGATCAAGTGCCGACTAGCCCAGTAAGGGGGTCACAAAAAACCCTAAGTCCATTTTCAGTCATGTCTAGTCTTGTACCCTCCATTCTCCTTTTTTAGCATTTGAAGACAACAGGTTGAGTTGGCAGATATTGTTTATGGACCCCTGAGGTTGTTTTTACCGATTCAATCTCAGTTTTATTGAATTCTTGATAACAGGAATAGGATTTGCAGGGAGAGCAGGGATATCAGAAAGGTCTGTACTGGATGTTTTCTGAGAACAAAAGCAAAGAACACAACGTTGTTCAAAGCACTGTAACTTAACAATGAGATTTACCTCCCCACTGCTTTACTCCTAAGAAATGGATGGGACCTTATCATAAGAAGTATTAAATATTTAAAGAAAAATGTTCTAAAATGTTGTCAAAATGGAGTGCAAATAAATACGATTTGCTGTGAAATTATTTCTTCTACACTTGTAGAAACATTTTAGCAATATATAGAAAACTGTTAAGTAATTTCAAATACAGCTTTTACAAACACACTCCTCTAAGAACCACCTATCATGTAATTATTAAGTTCATGTTAAACTATTTTTACTTGTAAGAACACCAGAGGCTGTAACACTGACTGGTGTTGGAGCGCCCCCATGTGGGAGAACACTTCAAGTTCACCTTAGACAGGGACAGCGGTTACCAGTAAATTTATTATTTTCTGACTCAGTAAATTATAACATTGAATCCATACAACTTAACAATAACTTAATTATTCTAAATTTCAAGGAAGTCTCATGTTAAGAGTGAATTAAATCACAAGCCTTCTTTAACATTCAAAAACATAGAGATGAATTTTTAAATGTTTTATTATGGAAAATTCCAAAAATACATAAAAGCAGAGAGCATTCTATGATGAATTCCCATGCACTCATTATCCGGCTGCACCAACTGTCAAATGAAAGCCAATCCACTGTCCTCCCACCTTCACTCCCGGGTTATTCTGAAGCAAATCCCAGAGATCCTATCATTTCATCTGTAAATATTTCAAGTTTATCTTAAAACAATAAGGATTCTTTGTTAGACACAGCCACAATATTTTAATACCTCCCCACAAGAAAAAATATTCCCCTTACTGCACCAAATATAGGGATGTATTTTTAAAAATCAACATAATCACTTTCATAACTGGGTGGTTTTCCTGTCAATGGCTCCAGGAATCTTCTCATTCTACTTCCTCATAAAAACAGCTGAGAGGCCAGCGCCCGTGGGCACCAAGCACCACGGGACGCACTGGGCCAGCCAAGGCCAGGGAAGGGCCCCCGGAGAGCGGTGTGGCGCGTGACAAGGCAGGCCCGTCACCCCTGCGGAGCAGCCACAGCTCCACACACAGGGCTGTCCATGTGTGGTGTTGGGCACAACACTTCATAATGTTGTTTTAGTCACTCTCGCCAAACACACTTTCACTAGATAAAGGTTATAAAAATAAAAGACATTCCAGGATAGTAAGCATAATATTTAGAGTATTTTTAGGGACTGTGACATAGGTTAACAGCCAGCAAAAACACACTTTAGAATGATCACATTAAAATTACTCTGAACCACAAAGCAGCACAACATCATTGTTATCAGTTTAGCAACAACTGCAGCAGTTATCTCAGTTATCTTGTAGGGGTTAACCAATTTAACTTCTAGTTAAAGAAAATATTTACTTTGTGTCAGTGTCTGAGCTGGACTTTGGAATATAGTCGATTTTAAAGAATTCAAGAAGAAAACATTTCACAAACAAATGGAAGTTCACAAATTAATGAAAAAAAGATTCCAGGTGCCTATTGTATGCAAGAAAATGTCATAAGCAGAATTTCTAGGTCAAATGAAAAAAAAAATATTTTAAAGAACTATAGGTTAACAAGTAAATTAATAACTGAAGATCAGAAGGAAACAGTGAGGCAGACACACATTTTAAAAATAAAAAGATCTTATTAACCTCATAAAAATCCATAAAGAATGGCGTTTAGTTGTGATCATTTAAACTTGACTTTGACCTACAAATAAAACCTCTCTCTGAGCACTGCATACTGTGACTAGCGAGGATTTAATGATTTGCAATATTAAATGTATAAGGGGATGAGTTAGCCATCTTGACAGCACAAAACAACAACAAAAACAGCTCCATCTAATCCTGTGCTTCATAAACTACAACGGATACATTTATAAGCCAGCAAGTAATTACTTTCAATTCATTATACCACACCAATCTTAACTTTTATAAAACTCTCCTTGCTTTTTGCACTTAGTACCTGAGAGGCCAACAGAGAAGCCGCTGTCTGAACAGTTTCTGATTGAGTTGTACTTGTCTCTGTATCAAGTTGTTCCTGTGAGACAAAGACGGGGAAAGAGACTTAAAAATAAAAAAAAAATAACTGAGTTTGGTGGCTAATAAAGAACATATTAGAAAACAGAAAGGATTAAGAAAAAGATGTAATACAGTACAAAATCATCTAGTAAGCCTTGCTGTAGGTTAGCACGCGTTTCATACACACATAATTTCTATTTGCCAACTTAAATCTTTTAAAGCATGGTCAAAATATCTCAACTTTCCAACCATCTCCAACTGGACATTTTAAACAACAATAATTAAAGACATGCACAAGCACATTATGAAATGTTGCCCAAACAATAATTAACAAAATATAAACCCAAGCTCTTAGCTATGTGAAAAAAAACAAAGCCTGTTCAATATTATTAAATAAAATTACCAAAGCACCAAACTGCTCCCAAGCCTTTAGTTAAAAGCAGCAAGTCTCTGCATCCCTCCTTCCTCTTGGTCCCCCCACCAATAACCGATGTGCTGAGTTTAATCCCAAAACACGGGTTGACTGAACCGGGTCACTCCACTTTTTAATACCAGTGCACAAAAAACAACACACACACACACACACACACACGAAAATAAACATACAAATTTGTATTTCTAGAAAAAATATACACACAATAGTAAAACAATGAAACACCAATTCTCTCCTCTGGAACTGAAATGCATAAAATAGGGAGCAAGGAGCAGAAATGAGGAAGTACGGTGTTTCTGAAGCAGTCTGGCAATACGTATCAAGTTTTCAAAGGAAGCATGCTATTTGCCTCAGTAATTCCTCTTTAATTAATTTTTCCTAATAAAATAAACATAAATGGATGGCAGGTATTTAGCTACAGCTAATACCACAGTGGGAAAGAGCAACTTTCTTTTTTTTAACAGAAGCAATTGCTTACACAACAGGAAACTGGTTGCATGAAAAATGGTAACTGCTTTAAGGCAGCATTCTATGCAGCCATTAATAATATTTTCTAGATTATAAAATAAAATTTTTTTTTCTTGATTTACACAGAGAATAAAGATTTGAAAGCAAAAGGTACTGGCAGTGCACACAGACAAAACCTATAAAGATATCAAAACAAAACTTGCTAAAATACCAATCATGGGAATTTGAATAATTTGGGGGAAGACAGGTTTCTAGTTTTTCTCCAAGGGGAAAGTTAAAAGCCTTTATTTAGTACAGATCAATTTCTGAAAAAACTGACATTCCAAGTTTAACAGGGTTTGGCTCAACCAATCTCTCCCATATGATCCACCTTATTTCAAGTCCCGAGCACCTCCGGCTCTAGCCAGAACCTTCTGTCAAACACCAGTTCCCCAAACACACCACACCCTCACCCCGACAGCAAGGCGACCCACCGCGGACTGCCCCAAACCCTGGGCACCCTTCAAGGGCTGCCTCAGATGCTGCGCCCTCCTGTTCTGATGCCCTGCGCTATTTCTGCAGTCAGAAAATAACACCTAGCTCCTCTAGCCTCTCGCCGCCGCCACCACCGTCCTCAGTTACATTTATTTCCTTTGATAATGTAATTAAATGCATCTGCCTCTTATCTTCTTTACTTAATTGTAAGCTCTTGAAAGGTGTGGAACAGACCTCATTCACCTCTCCATCCCACTAGGCAGGCGCCCATCAGATCCCTGTGCGTCTAGACGGGCCTCACACCTGGGAGGGACTCAACGTCCCCGTTGCAAATTAACATTAAAAAGCGACAAACACTTCCCTGAAAACAATGCTGAACACAGCCTGCTAAACAAAAGACAGCACAATATCCTAGAGACATTCCTATCACACCTTCTGTCCTCTTAACTGTGCATGTATTCCAAGGCTAAATTCAGTGTACCTTTGTTTCTGTTTTATCATGTCCACTCAAAGCAGGACAGTGAGCATCTTCACTTGTTTCATCCTGTTGTTTAAAAAAAAAAGCTTTATTCTCTAAAACGAAAAATTTAGATTATTTGCCAATCAGTGCTTTAATTTATAGAAATTTTAATTATGAAATAATTTAACCTGTAAGATCAAGTATGGCCTTAAAATACATTATTGATTCATTTTTTTCATATTAACAAGTTTAATTAATACACTAATTTTTAGTATCTGCCAAAATTAAAAAGAACATGATGAAAAACTTGTTGATCATCAACACCTAAAGTGCATCCCCCAAAACCTGTTAAGGTCATAAAATATTTTTTGTTAGAAAGAGAAAAAAAAAGAAGAGTTCCTTGATTAAACAATTTAGACTTGAAATACTATCACCTGCATTCCGGGAGATTCATTCATATTCTCCCAGCCTCCCCCAGCACCCCCCCACCCCACCCCCACATACACACACAAGTTCTATTTAAAAAAACAAAACACAACACATCCCTTTAAATTTCCCGAAGTTAATTAACCAGAGAATCCCCCTGCATAGTAAGACCTATTAAAATCCTGAATACAAGGTTTGAAAAATGTTCTCCTCGGGTCTTAATTTTTTTAATTTATTATAATCTTATTCAAAACAACTCATTTTTGATAAAGAGGGGAAAAAGCCAAGAATGGCTGTACTTTCTTATTCCTGCAGTGACTTGTTAATAAACATCACTTTCTTAAGAAAAATAATTTTGACACTAATTTCTCTGCTTTATTTACTAGGCAGAACTAGAATTTAATTTTAAATGTAGCTCTTAAACAAGACATAGAAACCACAGGCTAACTTAGAGAGTAGGAGATTTAATTGCAATATAAACCAATTCCAATAATAAGAACCTTATTTGTATCCTGCAAACATACAAACTTAAGAAATACATAGTAATTAAAATCACCACTGGGCAAATTTCTTTTTCTTTAAAAAAAACTTTTTTCAGTTGATTTTAAAGAGGGGCAAGAGTGGGATAAAGAGACAGACAGATACTCATTTTTTGTTCCACTTATTTATGCCTTCATTGGTCGATTCTTTTATGTGCCCTGGCCTGGGATCGAACCCACAACCTTGCTGTACTGAGACGACACTTTAACCAACTGAGCTACCCAGCCAGGGTGAATTACTGGGCAAATTTGAATTCTGACAGGACATATGACATTATGAAACTATGGTTAATACTGATAAGTATACATACACACACATAAACATATATGATAATAATACACTAAGTTTGTTCGTATCAGTCCTTATTTGTAGAAATATCATGGCTGAAATGATATGCCTAGGACCTGCTTGGCAACAATGGGGAGGGGCGCAGCCGTGCAGATGGCAGTGGCTGGCAATGAGCTGTTCACTGCTAAGTGAAGCAAGCTCAACTGTTGATTGTAATTTTGTACATGTATGAAGTTTCCCATAAGTTTTTAAAATATATATATATATATATATATATAATATATATATATATATATATATATCACCCTGGCCAAGTAGCTGAGTTGGTTAGAGCATCATCCTGATACACCAAGGTTGTGGATTAGATTCCCAGCCAGGGTACATACAAGAATCAACCAAAAAAATGCATAAATAAGTGGAAAAACTACATGTCTGTCTCTCTCTTCCTCACTGAAAATCAATAAAAAATAAAAGAAACACACATAGCTAAAATATAAACTTAGCATCGTAAGTTTTAAAAATATATACACAGCACATTTTTCTGTTTGTTTTCTATTCCTACCATTTGTATATATTTGAAAAGCAGAACTAAACTACCTGATAATACCTAAAAACCCTCCTATCTATATACATGTTAGTGTATTATTAATTCAATAGTACCCATGTTTCTTTCTGATTTGCTCAAATTTCCAATACAGAGAATGAAAGAACCGGTTTAGGAGAGCTTCAAAATGAGGCTGTTTAGGGTATTTATAACAATATTCTTCCAGCTGAGCACAATGGTTTAGGCTGGGTTCTAATCCCGTCTCCGTTTCATTAGCTTTGTAAGTGAGAGGGGCGATGAGCCTCCAGTTCCTCTTCTCAGGCGTCGGATACTCTGAGAGACAACCGAGGCCCCAAGAGCCCTTCTGTATCTAACAATTCTGTTCTTTTTCGTCAACTCCACGGAGCTGCCATAAACAAAACCCAGGCTGAGAAACTACAAAGAACAAAAAACCGCAAGAAAAAAAGGGGAGAAACCTGTATTTTACAGGATACTAAAGAGACATCAGTCAATTGTTAAATGGGGATCTTATTTAGTTACAGACGTGAACAAATACTTAAAAGAAAAAAGTCAATGACAGAAGCAAGGATTATTTGGGCACTAACCAGATGTTTGATATTAATGAATTGCTGATTTTCTTTCAAGGTGGGTTACATTTGTTTTGTTTACAATTTCTTTTTTGTAACCACTGTGTTTTAGATACGCAATTTCAGAATTACTGATGAAATGATATGATGTCTGGATTTTGCATCTAAATAATCCAAGCACAGGGGGAGAAGGAAAATGCTGAAGAATTAAGTGTGTAGGGACTGGCCGAGTTCGTCACACCTGAAGCTGCACGATGGGTATGCAGGTATGTGACATCGGCCTCTTTATTTGTGTGTCTATTTAAAATATTCCATACTAAGTTTAAAAACTATATATTCCTCCTGCTTCTCTGAATTAGACAGGAAACATGAGTGTTTTCTACTAAGGTGAAAGCAAATGAAATTACAAATATTGTGCTGGAACACATTTAGTTAGAGCTCACAGAGAATCATTAAGAAAAGAACCAATTAAGAAAACAGAACGACAGGCATCTGAGTTACGCTTACATATACTTTGCTAAAGTAAAAAGAAACGTGAATTCTGAAACACCCTGATAACTCTGAACAAGAATCCATAGACAAGATGTGCATTTACACCAAAACCAGTCCATTTTTAGGCTGATGCATAACCCACTGCAGGAGCACTGGGGCTTTTAGTAAGAGACTCCTGGAGACTATGGGTAACTGCCTCCCCACTGCCCTGCCTCCCGGAAGGTCTCAGTCTAGCATTTGGAAGACAGTGGGGAGCAGAGGACTGAGGAAGGGAGGGACTGAGCTAATCCCCTTTGGGTGGTGTTTCTTAAAAAAAAAAAAAAAAAAAAAAAAAATTGTGTTAAAAAAACAACCAACACAAAAAAAAACCCCAGGCCTAACTCTGAGAGAGACTCTTTCAGTGTATCTGGAGAAGGTCCTGAAGTCAAATTTTTTTTTCCGGGGCGGGGGGGGGGGGGGGGGCGGGGGCGGTGTTTGTACAGAACATGAAAAAGTTATTCTGATGTACACCCAGACTTCAAAATCAATGATGCCTTTAGAAAGGGAAGCACACAGATGCAGATGGGTTTTCAGAATACGTGTTACGGAATGTACCGTGACCATTTTTCACTCATCCTTAGCATCATAAGAGTGACAAAATTCATCAAATTATTCATACTTCATTAATAGTGACTATTTCCTAAAACCAAAAAACTTCAGAATAACCTAGAGAACATTTAAAAATTAGAGATAATTTTTCATCATTACAGATCAAATACTCTATGAGATTTTTTTTTTTTGCCATACTATGAAAAAACTTTGTTATAATGAGGTTAAGTTCCTAATCAACCAATTATCAGCCAAAAATTACAACAAAACTGATGTTTTAGACTGTCCCCTCCTTGGCAAAGGGGGCGCCTCACTACCAGGAAAGCAACTTCCGAGTGGCTCCCCAGAGATCAACACAGCTGTTGAGACAAGGCCATTTCTATTCGAAGACATGCAATAAAATCAATATACACTTTCAGTGGTTTTCTTAAAACTATCTGAGACTTTGGTAAGATAAACCACCCACTATAAAATGCGGAAGTATTCCTAGAAAATTTCCCGAAGGGTTAGAGAAAATCATCATTCAATGTCCCCAAACTACTCTGACCTCGCACCCTTTGGTCAGCGCTTCCCTAAGAATTCCCAGAGAAGCACTCGTACTCACCGCCGAGACGCCAAACCTCCACCTGGGCCACAGGGACAGAACACTGTGTCCGGAAGGCTCTCAAAGAGCCAGCATACACAGCAGACGGTGAGAAAGGAATGCTAAAGGAGGGTGTCCTGCAAGCCAGCGCTACGCTGCGGCACAGCCTGGGCCGAGGGGCCCAGCTTGATGAAGTGCCAGTCACTGAGGAGAGAAGGGAGAGAGGAGGCGACGGGGGGGCGGGGAGGGGGGGGCCAGGGCGCAGAAACACGAGGGCACCACCGCACTACCTGGCAGTTCCCTGAACGCTTTCCTCCTTGCTGCTGCTCAAGTTTGGCTCTCAAAGATTTTCTTCCACTGGATTTTAAAATAGGCAAGCTGTATTCCCATGGGTAATGAAGATATATATAGATACCTCTTCTGTTCTGGTTTTCTTGGGACTCTCTTCCTTGTGAGGCGAGGATCTCCTTTTGACTCCTACCATAGGAGTAGGTACTTTTGTTGCTGCGTTTCCTGAAGGTCTCGGTGACGGGTTCACCAGGCGCGTTGAAGAAACAACTCTGGAGACCGCAGGCTTTGGTGGTGATGAAATGGCTGGTTGTGTGGCCGTCTGAGGGATGTTTTCACTCGATGCACCTAGGCAGTAAGTACCCATTAATACATCCAGATTAAAATAAACCATATTAATGTCCACTTATAAGTGAAGCTTTATGTCTCTGAATTTGACTTCATTGATAATTTTACATGCAAATACTAAAATGGCCTTTAAAAACTGAATTCAAACTACTTGACAAATAAAGGCATCTTTCAAAACAAAGCCCAAAACCCCACATGCTGCAAGGACCGCAAACCTGTCAAGCCGATCTCCTTGCCCCCTGAGCTTTCGCTGGAATTTGCCTGTGGCACAGAAACGTCAGTAGCCTGTATGTTGGTCACAGATGCTGCCGTTACAGCTGGAGCAGGACTGTTTCTGCTATTAAAGGAAAGAAGTTAAAAAGTCAATGGAGAGGAAAAATTTAACCACAGTACCTATGTGAAGTTATTTCCTAAAGTAAATTACTGCTGAGGCTTCCTTCTCAGACACGGGCATCAGGGACCGCCTTTATTCGATCGGCTATAACCACCCACACGCACACTGACACTCTAAAGCGGCTCTGTCTGCAGAGCTCCAGCACTGCGTCCCCCGGCTACAGCGGCCCGGGCAGGAGTCACCCTACAGATGAGATGTGGCTAGGGAAGACACCGAGTATTTGATGTTATTTAATATTAATTACACTTCAAGCGCCACATGTGGCTAGCGCCTATCATGTTAAGATTCTTAAGAACTGTTCTGATTTGAGGTTTTTTTTTTTTTAAAAAAAAAGAGAGAGAGAGAGAGAGTCCTATTAGAAAATGTAAATAAGAAAACAATCTGAGAAACGGGACAGTTTCTGCACCCAAAACTTAAGCATTCAGGAGACCCTACCAGCCTGCCCCCAGTGGCCTCAAGCCGTGGCAAGGACTCCCCAAGCCCAGCCCCGCCTCACCGCCTCCCAGTGTCGGATCCCCTCCTGCCATCTCGGGAAACTCCAGTCGTTCCCCCTTCGTACTCCTATCTCTTCGACTTTTCTCTTCCAAATAAATCCTGTATGTAAACACTGAAATAGTCTCATTTTTATTACCTCCCAGAAAAAGAAAAGTCCTCTGTTGCTCCTCCCCCCTCAGCAAAAGCTCGTGCTCTGCAACTGTGGAATGACGATGTCACGACAAGCTGGGTAACACCAGAGCACTTACAGATTGTTGGTGCCCACGTGACACTCAGGTGAAAAGCCGGCGCGCATCCGGCTTATTGCTAAAGCTAACTGGCACAGCAGGCCCTCGACAGTCCATTCGAGGTCATGTCATCTCACTATACTATTGACAAGGAAAGAAAACCAGACTCCCGCTGGGGCGCCACCGTGGGGGTCTGCACATTCTCTTCCCGTCTGCATGGGCTTCCTCCGGGCACCCGGGCTTCCTCCCAACCCCGCAGACGGGCACGCCAGGCGAGCCAGCGTGCGAGTGGCGCAGCCTGAGCGAGGGGGTGTGCGCGCGAGGGCCCAGGGAGGGCAGGCCATCCTGTGTGGGTCTGGGCCCCACCCACACCCTGAACTGGAGTCGGCAGGTTAGAAAATCATGACTTTACTTGTTTTTATTCATCTTTCTTAAATGTACGTATAGCCCACCTTTATTTCAATATTTACTATAAGAATTGTTTGGTGATGTTTTTGAGACCAGAAATATGCCATAGTAACTTGTGTTCCCATCAATTAGCCTATGGTAAATTTTTGTCCTATGTTAAAGTCGCAGTTTCTAAGAACCTATCACCAATGTTGAGAATTTACTGTACATGAAAGTAACTGAAGTCAGCAGGGCAGGTGGTACCCCAACCCCAAGGACATTACAAAGACGGACGAAGGGCCAGAGGAGGGAGCCTCCCAGGGCACAAGCATCTCACGTTAAACAGCGCAGGCACGCTGACCACAGAGCCACAGATGCGGGGAAAGCCTGAATGACCTAGCAAAGGGGCCAGGACATAATCAATCCTGTTTGTTAAGCAAATACACATCATAACCTTCAAATCCAGAGATCTTTACTTCTAATATTTAAACTTCTGAAATTACTTACTAGGTACACCTATTTCCTATATATATTTACAGTTGGGAGTATGTGAAAAACAGTTCCTTTTTTTATTATGTATTATTGTATTATTTATTTGTATTACAACTGTAAACTTACTTTTGCCCACCCCTGTATGCTGCATAAATTCAAAGTGCACAAAAGGCTTTTATACACAGCGTCAAATTCTTATTAAAATTTCTACTTTTATACTAAAAAAAAAAAAACCCATTAAAAATAAAAATCTGTAAGTTACCACTATAAATGGAGAGTTGTTCTAAAACTGAAGATTTACATGTCACATTCATGCCTGAAGTCTTTAAATTATGTGTTACTAGCTTAAAGACACATCATCCAAAGTCCAAGACAAAAGAACTGAACTCATCCATTGCACTGTGGCATTTTCTACTTCAAGCTCACCCAAAGAATCATCCCAATTTAAGCCTCTGCCAAAGGTAATACTTTAATGATCCAATTTTTAAAACTGCTTTTAAAAAATTGAAATACCACTCACGTTCATAATGTGCTCAAATTTTAAGTATCAACTCATTTACTAACCAGCAATCAGTATAACCATCACAATTTAAAACATGAGTAGTACCCCAAAGTCTACCACAACAGCTCCCTTTCAAAGTAGTTGTTTATCCATTAAAAAAAGTCTGCAGGGTTACACTATGGAGATTTATAGAAGTTAAATATAAATACGGCCTCGGCCTTTTGTGTTCTGACTTCTGTTACCACAGCCATGCACGTATTTCTTTCGTATAAAAACACTTAGCTGCTTTTAATGTTTTTAAAGAGACATGTAATTCTTCAAAAAAGTTTCCCTTAACATCCACCAACCTACAGAGATCTTCACCTTCTTTAGACGATCCCTAGCGTTTCACAGATTTGCTCCCCCGTGACACAGATATGAGCAGCTCTAGGACAAAAAGGCAACTTCGTCCCTCCTGTCTGTTCTCCTTAGCAACCAGCCCCGTCACTACAGGCAGTAGGTGTCTCAGGACTGAAATTGAAGGGGTTATGGCACTAATATTCATATTCATACAGACTACAAGTACGATGCTATAGGAGAAAAAAATTACTCTCCACACAACTAAGAGTTAAATGGACATTTAAAAAATATTACAGGATGAAATGAAAATAATATTCTAGATAGATGACTTGAACAACAGTAAGAATATTTCTCGTATGTTGATAAATACCCACTACGCTTGCATGCCCTGGTGTTCCTTACCCCTGAGAGCTGCCAGAGCTGTTCAATGGACTGGTCTTCATAGCACTAGTGGGTGAAGGCACAGACATGCTGTTATCACTGTCCATAGACAAGTCGAGGCTGTTCTCGTTCAGAGGTGTCAGCCTGACGCCTTCCGTTGAATGCTGCAATCAATAAAATGTTTGATCAAATATATGTTATTTATCTAATGAACATCTTTTACTTAACTGATAAGTGATTTCTACTAAAAAGTACAAATCAAAATTTATGAAAATCAGAACTGTCATGATGACTATAAAAGGCAAAGATTTGAAAGACACATACTCCTAACTGCTAAGAGGCCTACAAATCCAACTATAGTTCTGTGGGAGAAGTCGGAGAAAGGAATGGTGACTTAAATGTCCACACTGAATGCAAAACACATTGCAAATTAAATGTACAAAAAGACACATGGATCTTTTATTTGTGGGCTTAAATACATACACACACACACGCACGAGAAGTCTTTTAACAATGAATAGCTAGCTCTAACTAGTGAATGAGAAATAACTTCACAGATTTTTTAATTATTCTACAGAAAACAAAAGTTTTATAGTTTCAAAAAGATATCAATAAGTAAAATTTAATGCCACTCCTATTTGTAAATAAACGAGCCTCTCCATAGATGACATTTCTTAGTGCTCTTACTGCAATATAGGGTTTTAACATGGTACATTTCATAGTGTAAATGATCCTATAGAGAAGAATAATTTTCTGAAAACTAAACCTTATACCCACATATAAATCCTAATGTTGGCCCTGCTTCTTAAAAAGCAAAGCATTCAAATATCAGAAAACCAAAATAAAGCTAAAAAACTGTAAGTGGTTCGTTCTATAGATGAATGTTGATTTTTTAAATTGACTTAAAGTTTCACATTCGGCAATCAGTGCCATTATAATATTAAGTTTTACTTCTTCAGCTTTTTTCTTTCCTACTTCTTCAGCTTCTTTTTTCTTTCCAGGATACTTTTAGTCCCAGTTTTCACTTACCTACGGAAACATTTTAATGGAAATATTTGCGTTGTTGACAAAACCTCATATCCCGTGTATGTGCAAGGGTACACTCTACAGAGACATCACTTGTGTACATAAGCAAACACTGATCGAATGAGGAAGGTGAGATTTGGCCGAAAGGAAAGCACGAGAAAGCAATGCTACTTGCTCACTGAGTCCATTGTGAAACAAACATTCTAACGAGCCTCTTTCCTATCCAAAAATCTCACTCTCCACCAGACAAGGATTTGTTCAGTAAATTATACTTAATTCGAAATAGTCACCTGCACAACCAGGTATAGTCAAACACCTATGAGGTAACCAGTCACTTGTTAGGGGTGATCTGAAAACGTGGAAGCTTTACCAGGTTGGACTGAACGGAAAACAGCATGAAGCTGCTCTGTCTCAGTGTGTCTACATCCATGTCTCTGTGTCCCTACTGGCACAAGACTTCAATGCTAAGAAATCATAAATATTCTATCACAGTTTTCTAGTTGGATAGAGAAAAAACACACTACAGAGAGAAATGCACATATATCCTTTGCACTGAGACCTAGGTCCAATTCACATCTCACACTACTTGATCTTGGGCAAGTTTTTTTAACCATTCTGTTTCTTCCACAATACAGACAATACCTATGGGTTTGCTGTATTCAAACAAACAAACAAAAAACAACCTTGAACTTTGTGCTTTATAAAAAGTTAATAAAAGGAAGCTATTACAGGAATCCAATAAAAAGATTCATGATATAAATTTCTAGACAATTGTTATTTAAAAAAGAAAAGTGCTATTATTACAAGAAGAAGCTTGGAAATAATTTAAATTATTTCAGGATAGATTTTATCACTATAAACACACGACTAAATATTAAGCAGCCGTTTAGTACTTATAATTTAATTTACATAGGTAGTCACAATATAGCAAGCACCAAAAAAAAAAAAAAGTCACAAAATGGTTGTCATCAAAAACCTTTTTAAATAAAATACCTATTAGATATGGTTACATATTTGCACTGAATAGTCTATGTAGAAATAAACTAAAATATTAAGAGTAGAGTAGCTATGACTGGGTAATGAGACTGTAGTTAAATGTTATTTAATAAATAACTTTTGGACTAAACAACAAATTTCTGATCATTAATGATTCCTTTTATATTCTAGAAGATTTTACCTACTTACTGCCTTAATAGAATAAAAATAAAATTTATTTAAACTATACACTAGTTATTCCAAATATCAATATTGCCAAGGAAACGGGAGTTTTAAAAGGTAATATGAATCAAAAGTTCTGGAAAATCTAATTACCCCAGTGACAACTAGCTGTTTTAATAGAACAAAAATAGGTTAAATGTTAACATAACAATCTACTTATTTACATTTACTTGTGAAAGCATAAAATGTTTATTATTTTCATATGCAGTAATTATACACATATGGTTGCTTAAACCTATTAATAATATAACACAACGGGACAATTAGAAAACAAATATTTAACTTGACACTTTAAAAATAAAATTACTTCATCGTAAATTTTGTTATATATATTTTATGACAAAGAAAGAAGAAAGAAAAAAACAAACACTGCTCAAGAAACGAACAGTATATTTTTAGCACTTTCTAGATTATTTAGTTAACTCATGAAACCATTAGGTTGAGAAGAAAATAAGTTAAGCTACAGGAAGGCTTTAATGAGATGTTATTTTTAAAAATAAAACATTTTAAAAACTGCACTTTAGACCAAAGCAGCAACCAGTGCCCCAAGTTTAGTGACTAATGACAATGGCGATGAAGGTGGCGACAACAGAAACTAGAAGCAGCACTCACTGCGCGCCAGGCACTAGTCTCAGCAACCTTACACAGGTACACGCTCATTTCATGCTCACAAAATACCTCAAGAGGTAGACAGAAATTATACCGATTTTAGAAATGAAGCAAATCAAGGACACGGTGTCTGTTATAAAACTTGCCCAGGTCTCAAAGTTGGGGAGCAGCTGAACCTGAAATCAAACCAGGAAGTCTACTACTCCAAGGCCCTTGCCCTTGACTGACAGACTTTTGTATTATAGCATATTCCAATTTTAAAAAACAGAACATTCTGAAGTTGAAGCCCCCTGTGTACTGACTACTTTACTCCTCTTTTCCCAGCCCCAGCCTCAGCTAACCAACCATTATGATGAATGTGATGGTTACTGTTCTCTAACATATAGCGTTATTCATAATTAAGTCATGTATCGTTTTATATTTTTTAAACTTGTAAACTTTATAAGTATATCAAATATATTCACCTGTACCTTTTTAACTCAACATAATATGTAGCTGTAGTTCATTTATTTTCACTGCTATGTTTAAGTATTCCATTATAGGAATAGGTCATCTATTTTTGAAACCACCTAAAGCAAAAATGTACTTGTTATCTCTGAACTAAAATCCCAGTATGTCCTCTATAATAAGTCCAAATAAGAAAAAGGCTGTAAGTTACTCAACAGGAAGCACTAACAACAGAACATAATATAAAACATTAACTCCCATTACCTCTGTTAGTGATCTTTATATTCAGTAGCTTTAAAAATTTAAATAAAATACATGTATAATTCTTACCAAAATAAAGCCATTTTCATTTAAAAAATCATCGAATTTCCTTAATCTACATAAATACCTACTTTAATTTTACTTCTTAAAGCAAAGGAAATGAGATACTTATGTGGATTTAAACAGATAAGAATAAAAGACTTTTAAAAGAATCTAATTATCTATAAAATAAGGATACGAAGCATCGCCACTAATCTTTCTGAAGTCTGAAGCAAGTATGTGCAAGAAACCTGATTCGGAACAAGGTTTCATATAATGGAATCGATCCACTTAAATTTTAAAAATGCTGTGATCTATTTCAAATATTACTAATTCACTGAGCCTAAATTTTTGAAGTACTGATAGCCTAGATACATAAAATACTGTATTAGTAATGCTTTTGTAAGTACTTTCTAAATTTACCTTTTTCTTTTTCTGAAGCACATGATTAGGTAGTAGTTCATGGAGTTGCTTTCTTTTTACATGCATTGCAGCAATTTTCATGTCCACCTCAAACATCTTGCTGTTTATTGCTTGCCTATAAACTACACAATTAGGAAATTGTTACAAGAAATAGAAACATTTTAATAAAGGCAGTTAAACTCACCCAGGAGAAGCTATTCTAAGTAGGGATCCTTTTTACATCAGTACTTCACATATGTGAAATTATCAGGTGAAAACCTGTCTCTACTCTGACAACTCATTGCCTGAGTGAACCCTAAGTCCCTTTTATCACAAGGTCACTATCATAATGAATAAAAGCACAAAGTACATGAATTCTTCCAATATATTAACTCTTAAAGTTGATTAACTTTAAAGAGTAACTCTGTAAGAAACAGCAGAAGTGGAGAAAAAGGGGTTCTTAAATCTATATGTTTTTATGCTCCCAGTAAAATTTTAAATTCTAAGTATGTAATAAATGCAGCAAAACAAAAGTAAAACTTAAATATACCTAATGATACCTTTAAGAATCTTCAAGAGAAAATTTTAAGACAAGTAATAGCATATTTTGTTACATAAATAACTCAAGGTACAGAGGTCACAGGAACAAAAATAACGTGGTAAAAATAAGTAAATCCAAACGATTTCGTTCCAGAGGTTCCCCAAAATGGAAAAATCAATCCACTTAAACAACAAATATTTATTGAGTGACTATACTGTTATCACACTATTCTAGACCCAGGAGAAATACAGCATGGAATAAGAGACCAAAATAACTTCACAGAGTCTACAATCAGAAGGAAAAATATACTCAATGGGGAAAAAAATTAAGTAAATAAAAGTTATCCTTTGATACAGGGGTTAGGGACAGCAACCTCCCAGAAGACAAAAATATGAATATAACTCTCATCAGCACTCCACATACAATCCCCACCGCAGAGCTGATCCTTGAACATGGGTTTGAACTGTGTGGGTCAACTGAAAAATTCTGCGCGTAAGTGGACCTGCTCAGTGCAAACCTGTGTTGCTTAAGAGTCAGTTGTACTTCCTATCAGATGGCAACAGGTGCTGTGGAAAAGCACTGAGGAGAGAGGAAAAGAGGCTCAGCCTGGAAACTAAGGTTGCACGTGAGTGGAGACTTAAATGACAGCGAGGAAGTGAGCCGACAGTACCTGGTGGAATAGCATTCCAGGAAGAGCAAACATCAAGGACAAAATGTCCTGAGTGGAGAGCATGCCTGGAATGTTTGAGGACAACAAAAAGGCCACGGGGAAGGAGGAAAAGTAGAGATCAGTAATCCTGTCGATTCTAAAACCCCAAAGCTCCTACCCAACACAGAAGCTTTCCCTAGGACTGGCACCAAAACTCACCTGGCAGCAGACCCAGATCTGAAATACTTGTGGCCACTGGTCTCTACCTTTGCAATGTGCCTCTCAGACAGTTCCCTGAGAAACGTTACTGTCTTTGACTACAAGTGCTGCCTGAGGCCCTGGAATGGTTCTAACTAACTTTATTACTTTCTGGTCCCAAGACACATGGATAAAAAATTCTGAACTTACACTAAAAAATGAGGTCAGACATAATGAGAAGGCCAGGCCAGGTAAAGACCTACAAACTGCAGTGAAGACCTGGACTCTTATTCCAGGTGACATGGACAGTCACCATATGTTTTAAACAGGCAAGGTATGCTTTTGCCTAATGTCCTCTTGGATGCTAACCAACGTAGCAGCTGAAGTTGGGCAAGGGCAGAACAGGGACCCTACAGCAATAGCAATAACCAACCAAGCAGTGATAAACGGCCTGGACTAGGTTCACACCAGTAGAAAGAGCGATTAGCAGAAATCTCAACGTATTCTGAAAGCACAGGCAAAACAATTTTTTAATGAATTTGTATCAAGTACAGCAGGTCCTCAAATAACATCATTTCATTATAAAGGCGGGGGGGCGGGGGGGGGACCTGACTGACTCCTGGCCTAGGCTGCTGTCTGCGTGGAGTCTGCACGGGCTTCCTCCCACCTCCCAGAAACATGCAGGAGGTGACCTGGAGGGTCTGACTGTCCCAGTCTGAGGAAGAGCAGGTGTGTATGTGACTGTACCCTGTCCAGGTGGCCCCCCCTTGTGCCCTGAGCTGCCAGGAGAGACTCTGGCTGCCAGGAGTCTTGAATTGGAATAAGTGGAAATAATGACCTGACTTGTTTTTATCAATCTTTCTTAAATGTATAAATAGCTCATTTATTCCAATGTTTAATATTTTAAGTGTCTGGAATCTTAGAAGTTTGGTGATGGTTTTGAGGCCAGAACTGTGCCATAGGAACTTAACTCACGTTTATGTCAATTAGCCTATGGTTAAAACTGGTTTCTTCATACATCATTTCACTTAAAGTCAGTTTCCAAGAATCTGTCCATGAGGACTTACTATTTGAGAGAAAAAAAAAGAGAGAAGGCAGGCTCCAAGATTTCTAGCTTGAACGACCATAAGACTATAGTTGCCAAAATCTGAGATGAAAAGGGTTTGGAGAAGATGGAAGGAACTGGAGGTAAGAATTTGACTTTTGAACATGCTAAATTTGTTTTGTTACAAAATCCCAAAAAGTATTCCATTAAAATGTTTCAAGATATAGGGCAACTAAATATTTCCTATCCCAAATACCTGAAAGTCCCTTGAAAATCTTGATGGTTTATTAATATAATCTTTGAAAAACAGCTCAACTTAGATACAAAGTGCAAAACAAATTTTCTAATTCAAGTATATTTACATGATTTGTTAGTTCATAAACAGTTTAAGTTGATGTTAGAATTTTTACTCTGAAAAAAGCCACTTTTGCGGTGTTCAGCAGGTGGTTATCACCCTCTAAATCACATCCTTAAAACCTGCAGGAGCGCGTCTGCTGTCACAGTAATTAAGGGTAATAACTTGCTATGTATGGGCACTTAATGCCCTTCAATGTGGAGAGATTCTCACAATGAAGAATTCTACCATATACTACTGACATTCCTAGAGGTAAAAAAAAACACACTTATCAATCATTTGAACCAAGAACTCAACTCAATTTTACACGAAAACAGGAAGTACTCTGAATTGTCCAGGAATGCAACTACCGCATGTCACGCTGCTGGGGATCAACATACGGGTGTGATCGCCTGACTCAAGCGTATCTTCCACTCACTGTACCTAAGCAGTTGTATTCTGAAATACATAGTATTTTCCTTCTATTTTTTCTTTACATTTAGTGTATAATACTGACTTTTTAACAGATTATACCATGTTTGCCTCTCTTTCTCCAAGGAAGTGAAAAACTTAAATGTTTTATCTGAATCTCCTCAGAAAAAAACTCCTTAATGAGGGCAGGTGACAATGACACCCATTAACAGTTTTTTAAAGCAGAAGGAAAAGGAGAGATGCTTGAAAGAAAGACTAGTCCCTAAAAAAGATGCAATTTATCACTGTCTCTATGCATATTCACCGCTCCCTTGAAAACCTGTGCACAGACACAGCCTTAGCTTCGGCCAACCACCTCCAACCCTTGGTCTTTCAGCTGCACTACCGGGCTGTGTCTCAGGGTGCAGGCCGCTCCGAGAGGTGCTGATAATCCTCCCCCCCACCCATGAATTAACACTTGAGTCTATATTTAACAGAGAAGATAAATTTCCTCAAAGTCACCACAAGTTTAGCTTCGTAAATTTCTGAAGTTCAAGATTATTAATAAAGCAAACAGACACAGACTCAGTCTATTAGACCATCAAATATTCAGGTGATTTCTATCTAGTAAGTAATTGTGGACAAATCAAATTTAAGACAGTTCTACTTAACTTTAGAGCTACCACAACAGGAAAAGAAAAATCATTCATCTATTAGACAATACTGAAACTAATAACTAATCCAAAAAACATCAAGACTATTTTGATAATTACTGTTCACTGTTCCCAAGTAACTGCAATAGTTATTACAAATATCACTACGTTATACATGAAGACAAATTCAAATGTTTTGATTACCCAAGCAGAGATATACCTGTATCTGTGAAAGACTGAATATCATAGGTGAGATCAACACTGAGATTTTCAGAGTTTTCGGTTTTTTTAAACACTAACCCAATCACCCACATCGTGCGAAATTCTTCCCTGAAAAGAAGAAGAGTATTACTATAGTTTATCAGGATTCCATAAAAATACAGTTATCAAGGCAAATGATAACCTGGGATATGTGGGAAAGCTTGAAATATGAATGTATAAGCAAACTAAGTAAATTCTAAGCCCAAACTCCATCAAAACTCCAAAGTCCTCCCACACACCTGTCCTGTATATTTCTATTAACATATAAATAATCAGATCACTAGGACAGATATACTTGTATAACCTATTTACTGACAGCTAACTTTCTTAATGATGACCCTAAAGTACTAGATACACTGTAAACAAAGAAAAATTATGTTCAAACTAATGAAGGAAAGGGAATTAACATACTGTAGGAAAATGTTAAACAAGAACAATACTCTAAATATAAAAATTTAACTAGAATTTTATATTCCTTAAACTTTTAAAGCTCAATTGAGGAGTGTGTAAGAGGACTAAATCATAATGGAAAAAAATACAATAAAGACTACATTTAAAAAACTTCAATTGAAAAGGCCGCATGAACAGAAATTTGACTGCAGCGTAATAACTGGAACAAGGGTAATTCAGCTGCCTTTGAACATTTAATGACATATCTACTGAATGGGTCATATGGTCTTTCAATAATAAGACTGCAGCAACAAAAAAACTGTAAAAAGCTCAAATCACACTTTACATGATTACAAAAGAAAATAATCTGGGTAAGTAATCAGAATAACAGCTATCCTATTACAGCACAATCTTAAATGATCCACTCACTTGTATCTTCAGTCTTTCTTTAATGATACTTTATTTTTTAAATAAAGCTCATTACTAAAACTCCTTTCACCCTCCAAATGCAACAAAGTACATACAGGCAAAGTAGAATCTTATATAACATGGCATCAAGCAAACCAGAAACTGACCAATAAAAGACCCTTAAGGGTAAGAAGTGAGCCTGCTTTTTTGATGTATTTTCCCAACGGTGCAGAATATATCACAAATATCACAGATTTTTACAAGGTCAAATCCAAGTATGTTCTCTTTAAAAAATTAATATAAAAAGCAGAAAATGATGTTTGGTGTAACAGCTACTCTGATAACCACTGTACAAAACGGGACAAGAGAGACATGTTAAGAAAGGCTAAAGGGCAAATCTGCAGAAACTGAACTCTAATTAATTAAAAAGCAGCTATTCATTACAGACTATTTATCAGTTATTTCAGTGGTTAACTTGGTAACGCTTCAATGTTTCTGATCAGGAAAACCTACCCTAGACAGAGATCTCAAATAAAGCAGTGACTTGACTTGTTATTAAAATCTGCCTAGAAGTGCTTCTGTCAGTAAAAGCTGAAAACGGGAAGAGGAGTCTAGATTAGGTTAGAAGGTGGCTTACTTGTCAGGATTTTCTTTGGGTGCTGGAAATGACTGGGGATTCACATGAGCCAGTGTAATAAATTCATTCTTCTCCAAGCTTCCAACCAAGATTCGGATTTTTGATTCCACCAAGCCCACCCTGAACAAATGTCACTTAGTATTAATAAAACTTCTGGTTAATTTTAAAAAATGAAATAAAATACACAAAACCAAATGTTTATGTAAAGCAGTGTTCTGAAGATCATACTTAAAACACAGAGGTTGTTTGTTCGATTGTCTGGACCCCCATAGATAAAACAAAAGCCTTATGCTCCCCCCAAAAATGCTGAAAACGGGGAGAAGAAAAATAAAACCACGTTTCAAACTAGGAAGGTTACAAAAGACATCTTAACAAATACTTAAAGAGAAAAAATGAGTAAGCTAAATTAAAGCACTTTTTTTAAAAAGCACTTTAAACATACAGCTAGGAAATGATAAATGGATAAAGGCAATCAACAAAAAAAAAGGTGCATATGGATCCCCAAATTCCAATACTTCTATTATAAGCAGCAAAACTCCATTTATGAATAAAACCAAACTGGGTGTTTTAAGGATTGCTATCTCCTACTGTGCTCTGTGGCTATCTGATTCATTTTCTGTAAAGTCTAATCTTGTACTCACCATTCTAGGCGTTGTTTTTCTGTTGGTGCACTTGCTAGAAGTACAATATAATGCCTTTGAAGATAAAGACAACATGCTATTTATTTTATTTAAGTGCTTTGTGCTGGATATTAACACCATACTTAAATAAGCTTCATGAGCTATATATCAGCATCAATTTAGTGAGGGGCAATCACAATCTCAGTATGTACATAAAATTATAAAAAGCTAAATTCCCAAACTGCTGTAGCTACTGGTAAGTTTAATTCTTCTGAAAAATAATTGTTATGAATAATTAACCAAAAAGCAGTTTAATTCAAGAATGTTGAATAATCATTAACCGATAATTTGGTTCAATGACTACAGTGGAGTGCTTTATCTATAAAGTTAAGGAACTGCTCACTAAAATATAATCCATTAGACCAAAATTATTTTAATGGAAACAAAGCAACAAGGTTGTAGCCACAAAAACAGGATCACTAAGTATACATGTTATACCAGTACCTTAAAAAATTGTTATCAAACACATGCCTTTTAAATCAAATTAAAAGGTAGTCAAAGCTCAACCCAAGTTACTTAACACCGAGGTTGGGCCTCATAACTTTTTTCAAGTACCTGAATAAATTTTTCTAACAAAGCAGCAGGTATCACTAATGTGAGAGCAACAAAGAAATCTGACTTCTATGCCGATTCCAATTCCAAAGAAATTAGAGAAGGAGCAAGTTTTACTTTTAGAAAATACCAGCATGACCAAATACCCATTTTAAATTTTTAAAAAAACAAACTATAACTAAAGTATGATTCATATAACTCAATTTCTTAAGACTGAAAAGGCTCAGCCCAACATACTCTTTTACGGAATCCATTTTAGAGGGGCTGAAAGCCAAACTTCTCAGCAGAACTTTGCCTCAAAGAGCAAACTGACATCATTAGCTAGTATAGATGGCTGGTTTGGCAAGTCAGAGCTAGACCAAAAATTTTAAGTTTCTTTATTCTTTCAAAAGGCTAAAACCTTTACGTTATCTTTCACATTTTGTTAAGTGAGACTTCTGGCCGAAAGCAAATACATGGACCTGGACGCAGAAAAAACTAGCAGCCCTAGGTCAAATCAGTCGCCCCCTTCACCACCACCGCCGAAGACATTTAGGCCAGGGATACTGAAGATTTGGCAAACTTAAACATTTCTTAACCATACTCCCTTTAAAACAGACCATTTGATTACTTATGCACAAAAAGAATGTTTAAAAAAAACCAAAAAACAGTTCTGGTTCTTCACTGTTTTGTAACCCAGACTAAATCAGACCTGCTTGCGCACAGCACCTGTCCAATGGGGTAACACCGCTCTCAACGGTGGAGGGACTAGGACGTTCAAACGCGTTAGCTTCAGGTATTCATAAATTTTCAGTGACAGAGGTAATATATATACGCACAAAAACATAGAGTCAAATATGTGCATATGCAGTCCAAATCCACACAGACTAATATCAATACTTCCTTTACCAGTTTAATTTGTTCAGCATCATTTGGAGCAAACCAAATAGAGCTGACCCTTGAATAACACAGGTATGAACTGCACAGGTCCACTTACGTGGATTTTTTCCAATACTGTTAATGTGCCTTCCTTATGATTTTAATAACATTTTTCTCTAGCTTATTTTACTGTAAGGTAGAGTATACAATACTTAACATACAAGATGTGTTTATCAATTGTTAATATTACCAGTAAGGCTTCCAGTCAACAGTCTGCTATCAGTAGTTAAGTTCTGGGGGAGTCAAAAGTTATACAAAGATTTTCAACCACTTTGGGATTTTGATACCCCTAATCTCTGCATTTTTCAAGGGTCAACTGTATATAGAACAAGCACAGATGGCCCAAATAAACCACATGGAAGCACTTTTTGAAAGCTCATGCACCTTATGCACATAGAAACCTGCTCTCAGGAGCCCTAAACGCTCTCACCTCAAACAAAACCCTAACAAGGTCATTAACCCGATTTCCACCTCCCTGGGAAATGGAAACTGGGCACAGGTTTAACAAACACAGGGGAGACGGAGGAAGAGCTCTCTGACGAAGTATAATTTACAACAGGAGACAACAAAAGTATACAAAGCAAGCACGCATTAAAAAAACTCAAAAAAAAAAAAAAAAGAAACAACAACAACAAGGTTGTCTGAGAGCTCACCTAGTTTAGGGACAAAACTTGACTTCTCTAAATCGCTTTACCACACCATTAAAATGGACATTCTTAATGACCACCTGAGTCTTCAACAAAAACTTAAATGATGTACAATGTTCTCTATTTAGCAAGACAAAAAATACAAGCCATTTAAGCATGACTTTGTCGGCAATTCAAAGTTTCAAATTTTGAAACTTAAAGAGCTCAACTTTGGTTCTTACTGAAATGGGGGAGTGTATCTACTCTATGCATTGTTTACATATTTACATTTGTTTCAACACAGCTGAAAGTGTTAAATAGCAAGTATTTGTGCTGAGATTAAATGTCATTTACTCAGCCACATTTATGCATATTTAAAGTAGTAGAAACAAAATACAGTAATTAATTTTAATAGAAACCACCGGCTGGTAGGAAGTATTTTTAAAACAGACTCATCCATCTGAGAAACTGAAAAAGGATCCACACTCAGTTTAAAAAATAGGAATTGGAAATCAGTTCCTCTAAATCCCTACCAGAGCACTGAGACTGCAGTACTTCCAAATTCAGACTATTGTGTTGCTGTTCCTAAGAGCACGATCCCCTGACACTCACAATCACGCTTCCGAGGCTCAGATGCTGTCAACAGACGTTGTCTAGTCTTAATGTAGTCGTGATTAACTTGTCCCCAAGCTGAGATTATCAATTTCCAATAATAAATTTAAGTATATCCCAAAGTAAAGCCTATTTAAAAACTCCTTAAGAACACTTAATTTAGTTGCTATTACTTAATAACTATTTACCCCCAAAAGAGCACCCTGTAAGTAGGTTTCCTGGCCATTTCATCACATTAATATTTTACCTGGGTAAATCATAGCTCATATATGTGCACTGAAAATTTAATTATCTCTTAGACAAAAATCCATGCAATTCCATCTTTAAGTAACTGAGGACCAAGAGTTATAGTTCATTATTTTTTTAAAAGTTTTTAAAATATTTTAAAGCTAAGTATTCTATATATTCATACTCCTTGAAATTATAAATTATTCTTCTTCTATCTTTGAGAACATTCTGGCTTTTCTCCTTCCCTGTTTCCTAGTGAAGTGAAACACGTGAAGTAAGTATTCACATTTCCTAGGTCAATTTGAGTATTCTTTAAGGAAAAGCATAAAAAACATTTTCATAGGCCTATTTAAAATTTCAGAGCAGTGTTACCCCTTTTCATGAGGAACACTAATCTCCTCTGAAAGATGATTTATCTTAAAAACCGAGACACACTTTCCTCCATGGGCCCTCCCTTCCAAGGACGGCAAGCGAGCATGCGACACAATTTAAAACCCTAGACATGACAGATGCTCACAGGACACACTTAAGATAAATAAGGCCTAACCAACTGGGACTCAAGGGAGAACTAAGAATTTCAATTCAGTTGTACAGCCAATCTCCGTAGTACTTCCTAGTACTCTGAAAGACAGTTAAAAAAGGAAATTGCAAATATGTGAATACCTGCAGGGGTGGCCAACCTTGTGGCGAAGAGCTGTCTTTACATTAAATATGCAACCACTAACAAAAACTGATGAGCAAAAAAGAAAAAGGTTTTAGGTAAATTTACGATTTTGTGTTGGGCTGCATTCATAGCCTTCCTGGGCCACAGGTTGGACACCCCTGCTGAGTTTAAAGTCTAATTACAGTATTTACTAGAAATTTAAGGACGAAAATTTTTGAAGGAATACAATTTGGTATAGATAAAATTAGCCCAGTTATGTTTTCAAATCTGTTTTCCAAAGGCTCACAGCTGAATTTTAATTTTCCTGATATAATTTTCTGTTTGTTGCTACATCCTTACATCTAATTATGTTTAAAGTCATTTGTAATAACCTAAAATGATTTGTTTCAAGAGAATTCAGTGAAGATAGTAATCTGTAATCTTTTAACCAGTCAACTGAGCTTCCAGGTACTATTTGACATAGATTAAAAACAACCTGAAAGTTTTAAAAGATTAAGCAAGCTTTAAAAAAACCTTCAAAGTTCTAGTAATACAAATTCATTTAAATGAGTAACACTATGAATGTTCAATTTCAACAATAATCTTTCTTAAAGTGAAGGAAGACACTTAAGTGCATTCAAGAATTTCATTCTACCCACTTCTCATCCTGTAAGGAAGGGAGATAGCAAAAAATTAATCTGGCTTCATCTTTGATTCTCAGGGATTAAGAGATGCCAGTGCTTTTCTACAAAACCAACTTATTATTCTCCATATAAAGTAATTATGGACTCTATATTGTAGTTTTAAAGTATCAGAATATATGTTCATTAGTTTGTTCAAAAGTACTTCCTCAACATTGGCTCAAATAAAAAACAAAGAAAAATTATCTGCCAAATGGAAAAGCACAACTTATGAGAAATAAGTAATAAACAAGAACATTCTGTTATGCTATTTAAATGTTTACTGACAAGGTAGTGCTCCCAGAACACAACATTTAAGCTGGCTCCGTTACTGCTTTTCATGCAAAATATACAGAAACAAAACACAGAGACATCATGGTGGTCATCATTCTTGTTTTTAATTGGGGAAATAGCATAAAGCAATCTTGCTTAGATTATTACAAAAACACAATCCACAAGATCAAATGGTCAGGAAAGTTTCAAGCATTAAAGAAAAAAATTTTAAGTGGGACTTTGGCAAATTTTCCGCTCAGGGCAAATAAAAGTGCAAGTCCATTTTTTAAAAAAGATTTATTGTAACTTACAATTTTCATCAAAGCAACACAATCAGGCTTTTAACCTGTACTAAGGTGTTAAACCATTATATTAAAACCATTAGTAAAAACTATTACCCCAACTTAAGATTCCAAAAAAATTATCTGTAAGAAATATTTGAAGGGGCTTTATTAACATTAGGGGGAAACTGTAGGCCAATCCTATACTGCAACTATTAAAAACATTTGACTGTGTACTGACATTTTATTAGCTTTGCCTATGTTAGAGAGAATCTTAATGATAAATAAGTTTCCAGAAATGCCTGAGAACACTCAGTTTCTTAATAGAGAATATTAACTACAAATTTTAACAGTTCGATCCTTTGGCAAGGTATACAGACTGCGAGACTGGGTGAGGGCTAACGTGTGCCTGGGAAACTGATGTCGCTACAAATGTGACGGTAGGAAATCAGTTACAGAAAGCAGCGCAACTGCAGGGGACATACTTTACCTTGACAGATTGAAAAAATAAAGGGTTTAAACTAAAAACAGCACACCCTTCGTGACAAGAAACTTCTATAGAAGATGTTTAAAAGGAAAATTCAAAACTCCATTAGTCTAGCAAGAAGAGATTTCACATATGCAACCATTATTTAAGAGAGCAACACGTCCGACATGCCTTAAAATACATACTTGTACTTTTGAAAGAAGTTTGGAGCTTCAAAAAGTTTGGACCACTCTCCCTTACTCAGCAAAATTTCATCTGTGATAGCAAGACCTAAATTAAAAACATATTAAAATGTTTGCATGGTTTGGTCTAACAATCTAGAGTTTTAAAGATCTTAAACATAGCACATGCGTTCACTATAACCCTAAAACAATTTTAACAAAAAGCAGTTTTAGTCTATGACTTTAGAGCATACTAAGATTGTTACATACATACATACACTTTTCAAAAGAGCTGCAGAATTTTCTGAGAGCCAGGTGTCTGGTAAATTAGCATTATTCTAAAATGTCTTGCTCACAGAACAACTCTCTTCAAAAACCGAAGCACTGTAGTTACCCAAGATTATTTTTCCCAAAAGCTTTGTTTCTTGTCTTTCTAGAAACATGCTTCCTGCTGATTCTAAGTGGATAACAACATCTTTCCATGAAGAGCCTGTTTAGGCTACAGAATTTTACACTTCTCAGTCTGAAGCTGGTAGCTGTACAGCTGATTCTACTGCCTAGACAGATTTCAGTCAAATCAAACAATCCTGTTTCAGTAACTTTCCTCAAAAACCGTTTGGCAACAGCTCTTCCTTCAAATTAACAGTTCTACTGGGATTCAGAAAAGTCTAGAGGTCCTTCCAAAATAATGGGTACTTTGGACCTAATCCTGCTTAAAGCTCTTTCCAAGAATGTAGCCTGCGAAAATACAGCTCATGCCGCCCAGTGGAGATAACGAGAGCATTTAAAACTTTCCATGGCAACAGTACGGCACTAAACCAGCCACTAAAGGCCCTGCTACGAATATAGCTGTAAATATTGGTTCATCTTCCAAAATTTAATAAAAATTGCCTAAAAGGAATTAAACTTTTTCAAGTCAATTCACAAATCTATATTGTAATCAATACACACACACACTAAAATCCACCTCAGTGAACGCTTCCTTCAATTTAACTGCAGACCTGACTACGAGGCCTAGGACGGTTATGGAACCCCTCTGTGCATAAAGGAGAGCAGAAGGATGACCACTTACCTTGTTTAAACTCCTCAACCATGACCATCCGTGTTGAAACGGACACATTGTACGTGGAGTTCTGTTGTGGGTATGCTGGTGTAATTATAGGCATAAGATGGTACCTATCACTGGGGTTTACCTACATACAACAACAGCCAATCAGTTTCTTCAAGTACATATGCAACAGATACTTGGACTTTTTACCCCTTTTTTAACTGAACCAATGATTAAACTTTATTTCATTCACAGCTGGAGAAAGAAAAGCTATGTAAGGAGATTTTGTTTTTATAGGAATTCTTTATAGAATCAGGATCTGGTCTAAACAGGTTTGTTTCAATCATTTGGGCATGACCATTTTGGCAACCTTGCTACAAAACAGTGTGCCTGTCGAGCAAAAGGGGTTCTGCTTGGGCAGCTATCGATGTTGTTTTTCTTTTTCTCAACAAGAGAAATGGGGATGCACACACTTTTGAGAAATGTCACACTCCAATATTCTGTGTAAAACAAACTTGATGAGGTCTAAAGTTTTAATATACCCTCAACTTATAAAAGAATAAACTTAATTTACATGGTGAAACTACATTATCCATGTTGGTGTCATTTTAAGAGATAATGAAATGATTTAATAACTGTTCATCTTAATCCATATACTAAGTGTAAGTGCCATATTTCCTTGAAGAAAATTGTAAACTCACAACCCTCCAAAAATGCCTGGTTTGGAAAACTTAAAAATACATAGCTTGATGTAATTAACAGAATTTAAAACTGACAATATTTTTAATATTGTAATAAGATAGCAAAACAATGTAGAGAAAGAAAATTTTATAAACCTATAAACTTTTTTAAATCTAAATATTTTACCAATTAATAAAGTGCATGTTGTTAACATTTAAACTGAGTAAGCAGTAAAGATCATAACTTCCCAAGAAGCAGAATGGAAGTTCTTCTTTAGCCCAATCTTGTTTTTGTAATCTGAAATACCCAAACCAATTTTTATAATTACATCATAGTAAAGTGATATTGCTTAAAAGGTATCTGTCACAGGTAAACATTAAGTAACAGTTTTCCTATACAACCCAATTTTAACAGAATATTTAGATCAAATAAAAAAATACAGGGATTTTTAGTATCCTTTTATTTTTTTTAAGCACAAATGCCCACACAACTTTGACTTACAAGGTAGTTCTATATAAAATGTATTAAAATGTTAGTGAACTTGATAATATAAACTATGTACAATTAAATGTAGTATACAGGGTACATAATTACGCTTCTCACATCAGAGGACAATTAGAGTTGAGGTTATCTAAGAAAGGGTAATACGAACATGTGCACTACTATGTAAAAGGATGGAAAGCCTCCCTGAAGTTTACGCAGGTGACTTTCACTTGTTATCGCACAGTGTGAATTTGTAGGGGAAAAAATAATACACTAACCCTTGGGTCCCATACAGGCAAATTAAGATTGCATTCTTCAGGCTGTTTCAATAGCACTGGATTTGGCCATTCCCTGTTTAAAAAGATTGTAGCACTTGATAAGACTTGGATATTACCATCTAAACGTATTTTGTTAAACATACAGCATTGTGAATGTGACCCTCCTTCATTCATTTTGCCCTCTTGGTACATAATTTTTTACTCCTGCTGATGTTAAGATTACTTGAAATACTTTTTCCTCTATGAAATTATGGTAGCTTTCCCAGACTGAAGGCCAACATCTTCTCTGCCTCCCAAAGAACCATCCTAAGTCACTGATATGTTCACCTCAACCTGGAATAGGATAAATCCCTCTTGAAAAACAAAAATCCTGTCTTTATACTAGCTCCATCCAAGGACAGCCATGAATGAAAAAGTTAACTCATTACTGGCAAAGTATAAATAACTATAAAAACTGACTAGAAAAATTTTCTCTCATGACTTAAAAGTTTATAAGCATGTGCAATAAAACTGTGACAGGAACACATTATTTTCAAGATACACCCTATGAATTGGCTACTTCAGTCCTCTACAAAGGAGATTAAAAAACTGGAAAACACATGCTATCCTTCACAGCGATTAACTTCTTAAAAATAGTATCTGCTATGTGTAGAATTTAAGAAAAATTCTGACATGCTTTAGTCATTCTCATCACACCTGATTACATATGATTAAGTACTGTCAGCTCTGTAAATAACGGAATGTGTGTTACCAAGTGTTGCACAGGTCTACATAATCAACGGTATCCAAAAACTGATTTTTATAAAATAACTACACAGGACTTTTTTCAGAGGGAGGGGATATAGGAGTTGGCTGGAACAGGGAGGGAAGACAAATCTCTAAAATCAGTATGACTTAAACCAAGAACCCTAAGCTTTGGGTCCAAAGCAACTAATATAAAATGGCCATCATCTCTTACTTTTCTTAAAAGAAACAATGTTTGATAAATGTGAACATGCTGAGATGAGGGAGCTTAAAAAAAAAATCTCTGCAGGGTTAATAACTAATCTCAAAGGGATGGTCAACTGCTTTTTTCCAAGTACTTAATAGTTATTCTTAAAAGCTTTTTATATACATTTGCATCTTAATATTTTATCAAAGATAAATGGGCAGCTGAAAGCAAAAAATTCTAAGAAACTAAGGGCTACAGATTTAGAAGAATTCAAAGAGTAAATGGCAGTATCCGAAGTAACTAATATTCCAGTCTATCAATTCATCAGATTCTACAGCTAAAACTCAGAGTTTATTTAGAGGGTAAGTCTATGCATGGAAGTAGAAATAGCAACTCCCTTACTATCCTGGGAAAGCTAGGGAAAAGGAATGGAATTAAGTTTACCATTTTACATACAACATGATCTCCCCCCAAGACTACCTAAATGGCTACATCATGAACTAAAATTTGAATCTGAAATCAGCTGCAGAAATGTCATAGAAATAAGACTAAACTTCAGTGTCTACAATCAATTTTATTTTAATATAATCTAAACACATACCATTTAGAAAATACCAAGAAAAATTTATGTACAAGAGTTGATGCTATTGCATTTGGATAAAGCTGGCAAGTTCTTGCTACTAGCATAGCCCAGGAAACACCACCGAGGAAACCTAATATATTGGAATAGATGTTGTGGCCTGTTGATAAGGGAAAAGCAAAAAGAAAAGTTAGTGTTGAACAAAAGTTTAAATATTTTTAATAAGCTAGCCAACAAATTCTGAACTCACGTTTGGCCCACAGTTTGATAGCTCTCAGAGTTAACCTGAAGTTGTCAATGTTTGGTACTAGGTGTAAAATTTCATCGGTTACCCTGCAACCTGATTAATAGGAGTGAAAAAACAAAACATTAAATCATCAAAAATTTAATGATAGTATTTCTTTTAATTTTCTGAGATTAACGTCAAATTCTAAAAAATTTTATTTGGTATAACCTGTAATATTAATTCAATAAAGAGACAAATAATCTAAAACTCTGATTTCCCTTCACAAGCACTATTTTCAACCAAAGAATCTGAACTGTAATCTGCCTGATTTCAAACTTCCTATCCATAACTAAAACTTCTTCCTCCCGGTCCATATATAGCAAGGATGGTTTGATCCATTTAAATTTCCAAGAATCGTTCATTATGCATAAATGCATAAGAGCATGGTAACAAGCAATGCTAATACAGTGTTCAAAGGCAATCCTTTCACACAACAGTTAAAAACATTGCAAAGAACATCAGGATCCAAATTAATTAGGGTTACACAGTAAAACCCAAACCATGAGCAACAGAGTACCAGTATCAGACATTCTTTAAAGTGTCCAGGAAATTTTTTTAAAAGTGCAAGATGAGTAAAATAAATTACCAAATAACCTCTATAGTCTAACTATTAAGTAAAACACAGTTATTTGGAATCACTATGGATAAACAATATGGCTATAAAAAGCTTTGTTATAAAACTGGGGTTTAAAACTATTTCACATTTCACAAAGCTGCTAATATGAAGAAAAAAAAAAAAGTAGGTTTTGACATACCATTAAGACTTCTTATGCATCGTATATCTAAATTTTTAAGCAGACTGTCATCTCGTAAGTCCAAGTCTTCTGGAATAGTCTGCAGTGCTAATCTTGCAAATAAAATATCAATCTAAAACAAAAACAAAACTTAACATTCCATATCTGTTGAACTATTTTTAAAGCATTTCTTTAAAAAAGGAAACAGTACTCCTTAAAGCCAGGACCTTCTAACTATAAACATGGCAACGCTTCCCAAGGGCCAAACAGTATTCATTCATACCGTACTATTTTAATCGGACATTAAAACGTGGTAATAAGAAACAGGGCCTACTTGTCATTATAATCATAATTACTAAATTGGATTTACTAAGTTTTCTAAATGCATCTAACTGGATTTACTTAATTTGTTAAATTCATATACTAGATAAGTTAAACTGTTTAGTTCTCCCTACGAACTGTAAAAAATGATTACATACTATAAAATGTATAATTATAAGGTCATATCCTTATATTTAGCCCAAATATAGCTTCTTATATTTAAGGACTTACAAATCTATATTATTATAGTAATGCATCTCCAAATTAGGTTAGACTAAGGAAACAAAAACACTGGCTGACTTTGAAGGCTTAGAGAATGCAAGTATCTTCAAGAAAAGGTGGGTATGCAAAGAAACAGCACAAATTTGTTAACTGTTCCTGAGGGTATGATTTCATGCTTCCAAACTCTGAAGGCTGCTAGAAACAAGTCTTTTATAAAATGACTTTAAAAACAAGTATTTTAAGAGCTTACTGTGAAAAATTCTTATGTATCTCTATTAGAGGGAAAAAAACTGTACACATACAAATAGTACTTGTGATATAGCATCAGTTTTCCAATTAAACAGATTCCAAAGCCCTAATTTAGACAGAAATAAAGATTATATGCTCACAAAAATACTAACTCCAAAAGCAACTCAGTGATGGCACTGACATTTAAAGGAATAAAATTTCACAAAATGTTGAAATGGAAAAACATTCCCTAAAAAATTGTATTATTTTCTTTACAATGTATACACAGAAAACACATTACACATTTCAAGTAACCATCTGACCTTTATCTCCATCCTGAAAACTTTACACAAGTGAGTTGCATTTCCTACAAAATTCTCCTCTTTTTTGGTAATGTTCTTTTTGAGAAACAGGCCATCGCCTTATATTACAGATAGTTTTATATTCATTTAAACATCGACAGTAAATCAAAACGACCTCAACTTGGTAATTCTTTTGCTAAATTTAATATTGTATGTCTATTTAGTAAGGTTAGTCGTCTGACTTTTCATAGAAGACTGAGCTGGACAGCAATTACAGAAACCACCTTTTGCCCTGACTGATGTGGCTCAGTGGGTTGGGTGTCATCACACAAAGCGAAAGGGAGCCGGTTCAATTCCCGGTCAGGGCACACGCCCAGGTTGCAGGTTTGGTCCCTAGTTGGGACACATGTGAGAGTCAACCAATCGATGTTTCTCTCTCATGTCGAAGTTTCTCTCCCTTTCTCCCTCCCTTCTCATCTCTCTAAAAATGAATAAATAAAATTTTAAATTAAAAAAAGAAACACCTTTTCTGCAAAACAATGAAGTATTAAAATTTTAATATCTTTACTATTACAGCCAGTGACCTTCCAGCACCATTATGCATGGAAGGAGCAGTACATACAGTTGCTTTACCGGCAGCTTTGTTCCCATTACTTTCACTACACAAGCTGAGAGTGGCAGAAAGAAATGCAGGGCATCTCAAGAATGGGGAGCTCATTCATCCTCCCTATCAGAATACATTTTGGCATACATAACATCAAGTCACAATTTTCTCTCAACTTCTTTAAATATTTAATTTAAATGAAGTCAAGGCAAAGTTTTATTTGCAAAAATATACTGTACTGTCTTAATGAGACTAAAATAATACAAAATTTGCTTATGGAAAAACTGCCAAGTAAACTGTTTTGTTATAGCACTTCATTGTCAGTTTCATTATTTCTGTCTATATTTTAGTTCCTAGTCTCACTACACTCTTTTAAAAGATTAAAAATGGTATTCTACACAGAACAAGAAGTCATTTCCATTAAAAACTTAATTCTTATTAATATCACACCAATTCACCAATTAAGTAACTTTAAAATAAGTTTTTAACCTATATAGATTAAAATTACACATAGCAAAAACTGTCTCTCTGAACTTCACCTTACCTCTATCCCATCAAAACACAGTTTGATAACTGGCACAAATGCCTCTTCAACAGCCTGTAAGAAAAATAAAACAAGTTCAATGTCTCTGAAACTACACATTAAGCCTACACTAATTTTACTGCTTCTTAATGACTGTGACACTTGAAATTGTTTAAATATAATTTAGCATAATGCCTGACACAGACTAGGTTCTCAGGAACTATCTTTAACTTATTAGTCTCTTGAATCAGACAAACTTGAAATCTTTGACTTCTGCAACTCAGATATGTGATCATGGCCAAAATGGATAATATTTATTTTGTTTGCCTCATTTTCTATTTTGTACACAAAATTACAGATTTATTATTTCAGGCTTATTGTAAAAAATTAAAATGCAAGCATACATGGTAAGCACCTAAAAAGGTTTGGCAAATTTTTTATAAGTTCAAAAAATGATGGCTACACCATAAAATTCACTCAACTGACTAAACTAATTTTTGTAAATCTTCCCCTTTCACCCCAAACATTTACGCACTCTTAAATCTTTTACTTCTTCCTGTAATTTCAATTTATCATAGAATGAGGTGAAAAAGTCACTTCGATCAACATGTCTTGGTGCAACACACAATGCATCAATATCGGCACCTAAAAAAAGATTAAGCCCATCAAACATTAATTACTATTACAATATAATTGTTTTACATCTTATTGGGAAGTATTCCACATTGAGACACTGTTAACATATCGGCGAGCCTCTAAAAATGCAACCCGTCCCTTAAAACAACTTACTGGTCAGTACAGGAACAACAGGATTCTAATTAATGGGATGTTTTTTCCTAGAGCATCCTCTAGGTGCAGTGGCCCAGATGAACCAAAAGGCAACTCAAGATAGGATTTTTATGGTGAACAGAGAGAACCAATCGAGACGAGATGGACCCAACATTTGATGTCACTAGTCATACACATGTTGATTAGTCAAACAAAGAGTTTTCTTCTATACCGTGTGACTGGTGCCTTTAGGGCTTGCAGCTAGCCCCTAAATGGTACCTACAGGGTAAACATCAGGAAGAACCGCTGGAGCCCTGGCTGGTGTGGCTCAGTGGACTGAGTGCTGGCCTGCAAACCAAAAGGTCACCGGATAGGTTCCCAGTGCAGGGCACGTGCCTGGGTTGCAGGCCAGGTCCCCGTAGGGGGCGTGTGAGAGGCAACCACACGTTGATGTTTCTCTCCCTCTCTTTCTCCCTCCCTTCCCCCTCTCTAAAAATAATTTAAAAAAAAAAAAGCCAACACAACAATAGCTGTCGAGTGTAAATGAATAAAAAAATAATAATTTTTTTAAAAAAGAACCATTGGCAAGATCCAAGGAGGCAGGCCACGGTATTTGTTATTTAGTGCTTAATAGGAGGCCAGCACTTAGTACGTTGGGAGAACACGAGAGAGAATTAAAATCAGTAACTGGGATCATAAAAGGGAGGGATAAATGTGGAATCAGGTCAACATAGTCTTTTTCCTCAAAGACAAGAGCTGAGGCACCACCAGGAAGGCTGTTATTTAGCCTGTTCATGACGCAGAAGAGCACACAGGACACTACTGGCACCAAGGGGTGGGAGTCAGGCAGAGGGAAAGATGCCAGACCAAACAGAACACATACGAGGTCTGTCCAGAAGGCATCCAGCCATGTGCTACGAAAAATAGAGACATTTATTGAAGAAAATATAAGATACAAGAAACACAAGACACTGCACATAGGACAGTGAAACCACAGTCCCCTTCAAAGCAGGCACCTTGGGACCTCACAGTTCTCCCAAATCGCCATCAGCCACCCCCCGTCCTACTTTCCTGAATCTCACTGACGGTCTGCAATCTCTTCCCTTTCAAAGGGGACTTTAGTTTTGGGAAAAGCCAGAAGTCACAGGGCACCAAATCTGGGCTGTAGCGGGGCTAAGTCCCAGGGTGATTTGATGTGTCGTCAAAAAACTCTGCACGAGACGTGATGCATGAGCAGGCACTTTACCGAGATGAAGCTGCCCATCACCAGCTGCCCAGAGCTGTGGCCTTCTGAATCATCAGAATAGTTTCCACTTAACTGTTCCACTTAAATATTCAAGCTTAATGCAAAATTTGATGCAGATTTGTTGCTTTACTCGGTCATTCTGAATGCGAGGGCCACACAGTACACATGCTCACTCATCAGTGTCTACTGCCCCCACTGACTAGTACAGTGAAGGTGTCACTGTTCACGCACATGCATTCCAGTGCACTCTCCTTGGCTGCCAGGTAACATCAAAGTTTGTGAAAACCATTCTTGGTATATTAACAATGGCTGGACTTTCTCCAGACAGTCCTCGTATAAAATGGCAGAGAACTTTTAACACAGAAGCCAGTCAGTGGTTGAAAAGTAGAGCTTCAAAATACCCAAGAACCCTAGTACTGCCAAGATGACTGGATGGAACTGTTCAAGCTTTACTGCCTCTTTAAGTCTCAGACCCCTATGTATTACACGAGAATAAGAGAACTGAGGAATAAATATGATAATGAAGACCAAATAAAGTATTAGCTCCATGCTCAGTAAAAAGAACAAGCTCAATAAATGTTCTCTGCCATAACAACATTTTTATTGTGTACTTACTTGCACAGAGGAAAAAACTACAAGTGTAAGTAAATTACTGAAAGTCAGTGACTGCAGAAAAACCTTTTTTTTTATTTTGATTAACTGTATTTTACAACTATAATAAAAGTATGGGGGAAAGAAAATCCACAGGTGTTTTTAAAAAGCTTTAATTCATGTTTGTTCTGATTTCCAGTTTAAAAGACTTCAGGTATAAGAAATGGCACAGAGAGCAGCACTCTTCAAAAGAAGCTTCTAATGGGAAAAACGTTCTCCTATCCATTATGGTAGCCACTCACCAGCCATTTGTGGCCATTCAACATTTAAAGTGTGGCTACTTCTACTGAGAAACTGCATTTTATATTTTACTTAACTCTGCATTAGACAGCACAGGTACAGTGGGCATCATTTTCTCTTTCTCCTCACCAAATTTAGCTTCCCTGAACTACTCTCTTTCATGCAAAATTAAGCTGTATGATATACTAAAAGCAACTGAGGTGAATACATCATTCAAGCTTTTAAGTAATGAAAAAGTATTCCTCTCAAAATAATTAAAACAATATTTACCTTTCGTGTGTACTCCTAATCTGTAAGATCCAAATGTAAAAATTTTTCCGCCAACATTTTCAATTACAGATTGTGGAAGATTCTGTGAACACAAACAAGAAAGTGGTTATTTTCCCAGTGGAGCGCAAAGAAAATTATTTCAAATAACACAGTATATTAAAAAAGAAGAAAAGTAAGCCTTCAGTGCAAATTTAGAGTGCAAAAATAGAGGATAAGCGCCACAAAACACCAGGCCTTCACAGATCAACCTAATATGAAGTTCAAACAATTTTCAACTTCCAATGAGTGTTCCTAGTGAAGACCCTTACTATTTTAGAATTCTGCCACACTTCTGGAAACTGCTTTAAAGAAGACTATAGTAGAGGAGATTACATGACTATGCAGGAGCCATGATTCAGAGATTTTATTCATGACAAAGAGGCTGCATAAATCATGAATGTTACAATGTAACAAAAATTTCTAACTGCTTAAAAGATTATATTATACTCAATGATAATACCAAATAGTCAATGGTACATTAGAGTAGCAATTTTCAACCAATGTGCCCTAAGACTTTTTAAAACACCCAGTACCTGACTATTTAATCGGGAGCGCTGACCTGTTTTCCCTTATACTGTCAAATTAAAAATTAACAATAGCCAACACAACAATAGCTGTCCAATGTGAATGTTCTGTCTTGAACCATAAATATGTAGATCATATAATACTAGAGTTGCATCTTACTGGTCACACCGCAAAATAAAGCTGAGTCTAGTTAATTCTTGGTACTAGAAATCCTTACACACGTATGTATAGGCGCCTGATTTTTTTTTTAAGAAGTCACTTTAGAGCAAAAAGGATAAGTAATTACTATTTTTTTTGTAAATCAATCAAAATTATACCTATTTTTTGTCAGACCAGCAAAAAAAATATATTTTTTGGTGTGCCATAGAATTTTAGTAATTAGTTTACATATGTCATGAGATGAAAAACGTTGAAATTTACATTATAGTATAAATTTGCCATATCAAAAGTGACTTTACTTTAAATGGTTTAGTCTTACAGTTCCAAAAGACTTTGGTGGAACGATTCTGAGCAGGACTAAACTTACTGATGGTCTCTTAGAGAAGAAACACCAGAAATAAGGAGAAAGGAAGCATTTAATAACTTCTTCCTGGCCCTGGCATTAAAGTTCCATGGTGAGTACTTAATGTTCCTAGTGATAAGGATGATGTCTGCCCAAACAAAAAACGATGTAAGTGACTCATTTCTTTACATTCTAATTACTCAGAATAGTAAAATCTGATTCAGTATCAGAGCAAAAAGAGGACCACTTTTTCCCTTTGCCCTGCCAAAATGATTTCAACTTCAAAAACCCTGAAAATAAATTGTAAAGATTCAGGGACTTCCTGTGTTTTAAAAACATATCTAATCATCACTTATAGAAAAGGCAATCTGTATGTATAATATTACATTTGCTAAAAGTAGGCAAGGCCAGAAACCACAAAAGGCTCCAAAGAGTCAAAGCAATAAGAAAGAAGAACAAAGCTGGAGGTTATCACGCTACCTGTTACCAAATTTTACTCTAAGATGCCCTCGCAGGCCAGTGCTCAATCAGTGGACTGAGCACCAGCCTGCAAACCAAAGGGTCACTGGTTCGATTCCCAGTCAAGGGCACATGCCTGGGTTGCGGACCAGGTACCCCACTGGCAGCGCATGAGAGGTAACCACACGCTGATGTTTCCCTCTCTCTCTCCTCTCCCTCCCTTCCCCTTTTTCTAAAAATAAATTAATAAAATCTTTTTAAAAATTTTACTGTAGGCTAGAGTAATCAAAACAACATAGTGCTGGCATAAAAACAGACACAAAGATCAATGGAACCAAATAGAGAGCCTGGAAATAAACCCAGCCTATATGGTCAGTTAATCTATGAAAAAGAAGGCAAGAATATACAATGGGATGAAGACAATCTCTTCAATAAATGGTGCTGAGAAAACTGGACAGACACATGGAACAATAACAGAAACTGAAGCTGAATCAGTTTCTTATACCATATACTAAAATAAACTCAAAATGGACTAACGACTAAATATAAGACCTGACAGCATAAAAATCCTAAAAGAAAATATTCAATAAACTCTTTGACATCCTTTTTAGCAATTTTTTTTTGATATGTCTTCTCAGGAAAGGAAAACAAGTAATAAACAAATGGGACTACATAAAACTAAGAAGTTTTTGCACAGCAAAGAAAACCATCAACAAAACAAAGATACCCTACTAAATTGGAGAAGATACCAATCATATATCTGATAAAGGGTTAACATCGAAAATATACCAGGAACTCATACGATTTAACACCAAAAATAACCATCTGATTAAAAAATGGACACATGACCCGAACAAACACTTCTCTGAAGAGGACATGCAGATGGCCCCCAGACATTATGAAAAGATGCTCCACATCACTCATCATCAGGGGATCGCAAATTAAAAACCACAGTGAGATACCATCTCACACCTGTCAGAATGGCCGTCATCAAATAAATCAACAACTGCTGGCGAGGATGTGGAGAGAAGGGGTCCTTGTGCACTGGCGGTGGGACGGTGCATTGGTGCAGCCACTACAGAAAAGAGTATGGAGGTTCCTCAAAAGATTAAAAACAGAACTACCATGTGACCCAGCAATCCTACTTCTAGGTACTTCTCCAAAGAAATCCAAAACACTAATTCAAAAATATATATGCATCCCATGTTCACTGTAGCATCATATACAATGGCCAAGACATGGAAGTAACATAAGTGCCCATCAGCAGACAAGTGGATAAAAATGTGCTAATATGTACAACAGAATATAACTCAGGCATTAAAAAAAAACTCTTGTCATTTGCCAACATGGATGGACCTGGAGGATATTATGCTAAGTGAAGTAAGTCAGAGAAAAACAATTACCATGATTTCACTTACCTGTGGAATGTAAAAAAAAATAAACAAACTCATAAATACAGAGGACATACCAACGGTCGCCAGATGGGATGGGGGTTGAGGGAACGGTGAAATGGTGAAAGGGATTACGGAGTACAAACTGCCAGTTATGAAAAAGAGTTACAGGGATGTAAAGTACAGCACAGGAAATACAGGCAACAGTATTGTAGTAACTATGTACGGGGCCGGGGGAACTACACTTTTCAGGGGGAATCACTTCCTAACTTATATGTCTCATTACTATGCCGTACACCTGAAACTAATATAACATTGAGTATCAATTATAAGATAATAATTGAAATATAAAAAATTTAAATTAAAAGAAAATTACTGGGTAAGGAAACTTACTACGCACTTCAAGTACCTGAAACAAGACTATCAATGAGACAATGCTCTTTTTTTCACATTAAATAAATTTAAGTTCTAGCCTTGTCTAGCTGACTACAGTTTTAAATTTAACTAAACATCTAAGAAAAAGCCATTAAAACAGAGCTAAGTTTTCTACGTAAGGTTTAAGGAAACACCAAGTTCAATAAATGAATAAAAAATACTGAAACCTTGGAAACCTTTTGCTTGGCTCAAAAGAACTTCCTTTTCAAAACCTCACTTTTACCAAACTCCACTAATGAGGAATAGGTAATTTATGGAGCCCCACTTCAGAATATTTCACTGCTAAAGTTTTAATCAGTTACTTGAAATACACACTGTTTTAAGGGGCGGAAAATATTATAAATTTGACTAAAACCAAAAGACTAACTTTTCTTCTATGCTGATATCCTCTCTCAGGTTTTCTTCTACCCTGGTTCTTTCCATCATTTTTCAGCTGTATTACAGAGTAAATATGCATTTGGTACTACACTGGAAAAAGTAGCAGTGAAAAAACTATCACTATTTAGGTGTTTTGTTTTTTTTTTAAATGGGTCCAATGAATTCCATGCACAATTCTAAGAATCATTTCTTTACCAGAAACCTAGTCATAGATTCATCAGTTGTGTGTATGATTTTTCATAATTATTAGAAACTCAAAAACTTATAAAAAACTAAGTATTCAGTTTCAGAGTCTAATACCTGAAAATCTAAAAAAGGCTAACTGGCCTGGCTGGTGTGGGTCAGTGGACTGAGCATCGGCCTGCGAACCAAAAGGGTCGCTGGTTTGATTCCCAGTCAGGGTACATGCCTGGGTTGCAGGCCAGGCCCCAGGGGGGGGGGGGGGGGGGGGGGCAAGGGACAACCATACATTGATGTTTCTATCCCTCACTTTCTCCCTCTCTTCCCCCTCTCTAAAAATACATAAATGAAATCTTTTTTAAAAAATGCTAATTGTTATAGGATTCCTTAAAAGGTAACAAGATTTTCAAACATTTAATATACATTTTTAAAGCACCTTTCCAGGAGAATATCTACTTTTTTAGTAAAGTGTATAAGTAATTACTGAGTTTCTGCTTTGAAATGCTGCAGCCAAAAGTACTTGCATAAAAAAATAAAGAAAATAAAGAACCTATGCACCCCAATGTCCATAGCAGCACAATTTACAATAGCCAAGTGTTAGAAGCAACCTAAATGCCCATCAGTAGATGACTGGATCAAAAAATTATGGTACATTTACACAATGGAATACTACACAGCAGAAAGAAAAAAAGAACTACTAAACTTCGCGACAGCATGGATGGAACTCGAGAGCATTATGCTAAGCGAAATAAGACAGGGGGCAAAAGACAAATACCATATGATCTCACCTATAAGTGGACGCTAACAAACAATACAAAGATGCAAGGAAAATAAGACCAGCAACACTGAAAGGAAAAGAAATCAACAGAGACAAGAGGGAAGGAGGGAGGGGAGGCGGGGGGAAAGGAAGGGAAGGGGAAAGTCAAGGAACATATAGCAAGGACTCTTGGACAAAGCCAAAGGGGAAGAGCTGAGGGAGGGAAGGAAGGAGGGGGCAAGGGAAAGTGGTGGGGGGGAGGCAGAGACAAATGTATTTGAAAAAATTAAATAAATAAATAATTTTTTTAAAAAAGAGAAAAAAATAAAATAAAAATTCACTGAGTTCAGTTCAGATTGTCCTGTTTTCAGAATAACTAGAAACAAAATATACAGGGTGAAGGAAAAAGCAGATTTACAGCTGGTCTATGGAAATGACAATAATTAATAACAACACAATAAATAAATTTTCACATACTTGCAGGTACAGGAAACAGTTTATTCTTGTATTATTTATTTAAGTATTCTACTTTCCATACAAACAACTCTAAAACTATTTTTCCCCACCCTATAAATTGTTACCAAGACTTTAAGTCCACTCAAACATGCACATGTTACACAAGACAATAGCTACGTTCAGCAGGCAAATTATTTTATATACAAATTAAGTCACATTACCTTGCTTTCACTGATTTCTCGTATCCATTCTTTTACCAGGTTATTTAATTTTCCCAAAATTAAAATCCTGTTGATAGAGCAAATAGCAAACATCAAGGTGTTTGTTATTCTAAATCAGTACTTATTAAAATGCCAAAGTTCCCCCATAGGTGGCTTCCTAAATTTTAAACAGTGTGTAAGTTACCAGAATGAAAGTATGCAGAAATTAGGTACATGCAGGCACCCTTACACTGGGTGAGGCGGTCCCCTTACTCCTCGTAATTCTGTACTATAATAACCAAAAGCATCAAAAATCAAAATTAAGGGAATGAAACTCCAAATAGAAAAAAGGTTTTTCTAAGTATCACTCTTGTCTGAAACATATTTGAGGGAGTAATTCTGACTTTCTGAGTCAAGAATGCCGCAAAATTAGTCTGTTAGGCTAATAATGTTATAAATGTTTTATGTATTTACCTGCGCTGCAGTTCCTCTTCCTCTTCAAAAACCCCGAAGGGCTTCAGAGTCTCAATCAGCTTCTGTGTGAGCAGGCAGTCCGTCTCCTTGGGGGCCGCTAGGCTGATAGGAGAGGTGATGCCATAGTGCTTCTGCGGCGGCTGTGTCTGCTGTGATCCCTGCGTTGTGACTGGACTACAAATGGAATTGGGTAAAATTACTGCCAAAAAATTTCTACAATTTTGAAACAAATTGGTATAACTAGAAAAACTGCTTTAGTAAAATGTATTTCTACACATAGTTGGTTGACATTTTACTTGTCTTTCCATAAAAGCTACTAAAAGCAAGTGACCAAATAAAAACATTATTTCTCCTCCCACTCCAAAGAGTTAAAATTGTCACTACCTAAATATCTAAAACTGTAAGTAATAGTCCAGATCAAATATACTGCTGGGGAAAAATGCTATCTAGACAGAAGTAAGCTGAGAAATTTTACTTCGTGAAAAAGGAGCCAAAATCTGTAACACTTATTCTAAAGCAATGACAAACATACTACAAAAACACTGTTTTACACCAATACAAGAAACTACCCGAATGGAACGTAACATCTGATTCACAATGAGTAAACCCATAGGTGAACAGGGCAGATGACAGAAGCGTAACTGGTGAGGGGTGGGGACGAATAGTCACACTAAGCGTGTTACATATTTTTAGTAGGAAATCTACACTTAAAACAATGATGCTAGCCTGAAAGTTTTTCCATTTTAAAAGAAATTCAGATTTTTATAATAGGATTTAACATAGCTTTAAATGTTTTAATCCACCTTGTTGAAATAATTCATAATTCAATGGACAAAGACTCTTTAATAGCACAACCATTACTTAAAAACTATTAAGTAACATACAAAGCCAGGTAGGGGCCAAGAGATGTACCTAATACCTGGGTCACTTATTTCCCCCACATTAATAAAGTAAATGTTTGTTTTACACACAGACACACAACACCTCTATTAAGTTCAAAATACATTTTTCTTTTTAAAATAAAATTCAATAATCTATTTACTTAAGCAATTAACATGCCAAATCCAAGAATCCTAGGCAGGTTAAGTCCCATTATGCAGTTACTGCCTACCCACTGGGTTCTGGTTTATACTGTGACCATTGGACCGTGTTTTGTATTTTGTCTTCTGATAATCAATACAGACCTAAGAATGCCAGGAGGTCCATACAGCTTGTTACTAATTAGCCAGCCGGCTGCTGCCTATCATCTAGTCGACATTTTCTGATCTAGATGGAAATCGTCTCAATTTTAACAGATTTTACAGTAACATTTACTAAGTAAATATCAGTTTTATTACCTCTTGCAGCAAATAATTCGTGCCAGAGCACTTCCTCCAACTCCTTTAATCTAAACTGCATAGCTACACAAGGCTATGATGTTAATTCACAGAGCTGGGAATCCACAAGCACCAAGCACTACCTGAAGGCTAAATATCTTACATTAATGTTCTACTTCTCAAATTTATGTAACATCTCCTATGCTTAAAATATATAAATTAAGTGTAAGTGCATTCACAATGTCTTGGTTAATATACATTTTCATCAATCAACAAATAATTATCAGCTCCCTTAAAACTGACATCAAAAAGGTGGCCCTTGAAACCAGTCTTTTCCTCCTTCACTCCATATTCTTAAATAGATTTCAGATAAATTAGGTATTGAATGTAAAAAAGTGCACTTACCACATAGCCTGGAGTAATTACATTCTTTTGCATTGTTCACTGCTTCATAAATTTCCTCAAGTAAGCTATAGCCCTTCATTACTATTCCAGGATTACGAATACTTTTATGAACAATTTTAACTTGAGTGGAGCCAGAAATGAAAACAAGGGTAAAGTTCATTCTAGATAGCACTGATGCAAGCAAAGAAAGCTTTGAAGTCAAGTGTAAACTTAATTCATGTTTTCTAAACTTCAAGTAATAAACCTCTACACTGTAGTTTTGCATTTTTGTTTTTTGTTGCTGTTTTGAGGAAGTAATGTTTCTCTGCATTTATTTCCTTTCTGAAGGGGTTAAATTCATTAACAGTTGAGTTTAGATCTCAGTGGGGTTAAGATTCTTCACTTATATTTCTGATTTTTTTCTTTCTCAAATATTCTGGTTTTCCACTGTGAGATCAAAAACAGTGATTGGAAAGCCTACTTCAACTACATTACCGAATTACTAGGATAGAGACTTAGATTTCTAAATTCACACCAAGTCTGTTCACTCTAATTTGAAAAACAAATGTTGATGTCTACATTAGTTTCCACATTAACACTTCGATGGGGAAACAAATCATATGTAAATTGTAAATTTTATTTACTTTATTCGAAGTGTAGTCACATCATCTAGGATAAAACCACATTTATTTGTCCCATCTAATTCAAGAAAGGACATATAGAGCATATATCTACATATGCACGTATACAGAACATATATCTAATTAAAGTATACATACGGAACATATATTAATTCAAGAAAGAACATATAAAAGAAAAATAAATCACAACCAAACAAAAGGAAAGAAACACAAGATACCTGTGCCTCCAATATAAATGACAATAAAAAGCAGCAAGGCTCCAAATTCCAGGCTGCCAGATGCTCTGAATTTCCAAACTATCCCAAGAAGAAACATTAGCCATGAGATGAAAATAAATCAGTTGCTAACAAAACAAAAACACACACTCAAATACTGGGTAATTTGAAAGTTTCTGCTTTACAGACTGTCTTCTGGAACCATACACCAGACAGTTATCAATCCCAAGAATGCAAAGCTCTTCCGCCCCTTCCTGAACACATCAGACACCTGCTCATGTCTATCACTTTCTAGAGACATTTTTACCAGTATTTAGTTTTCTTCAGACATTATTCTGTTTAAAAATAAAACTACAATTATGTGAAACAATGTAAAAAAAAAAACACAAAACACCCTAGATATAGCGTTCCAGTATGTGTGACTCATTAAAATTTCTTTCTGGTTTTCAGTATCAAGAGCAATTGTTCTTTTGAGCAACTGATTCATCTGCATCTCATAAACATGGTGTATTTACCTTCAGGACACCGCCCGAATTCTTAGAGCAAAACTGGTGTGAATTTAGCAAGTTCTCTACAAAAATCCAAATATCACTGTTTTTCTGTAAGAACTATTTTAGTATCCTAATTTCTTCCTCTGCTTTACATGTCTATCCTTATTCTTCCTTTCCACGCACTTTGAGTGCAAACATCTTGCTAGTTTTTAACATGCGACTAAAGCATTCTTGTTGGCAAGTCTTACTCCTTTCCAGGTCAGAGTGGGACACACTTACACAGAGTACATACACAAGTCTTGCTCCCTCTCAGAATCACAAATGACTGCCAGAGACTACCATTTGCAGGGATGGGGGTGAGTGTGCAGGGAAGGGTAAGAGGGCACAATGTTAAATATAGGGTCCAGCACAAATAACACTCCTTTTTTATTACAAAATGTTTTATTATAAAATTATAAGCCTGTAATTCTGTAACAAAACAGTATCACTCTCAGGCACACCATAACATTTTAGGTGAAATGTTCAAATTAAAACTATAAATTAACCTCAGCTGGGGTGGCTCAGCAGACTAAGCACTGGCCTGCGAACCCAAAGGTCAATGGTTCGATTCCCAGTCAGGGCACATGCCTGGGTTGCAGGGCCAGGTAGCCGGTTGGGGGCATGTGAGAGGCAACCAAGTGATGTTTCTCTCCCACTCTTTCTCCCTCCTAAAGATAAATTCTTTTTTAAATATAAATAAAATGACAAATTATTATACCCATATTATTACCCTATAACCACACTCAAGCAGGCCTTACTTCTGCTGGACCCTGTATTTTCAGAATCCTCTCTCTTAGAACCTGGGGTTTTTGGTTTTTTTTACTACATTTAATATATTTTCTACATATGTAGAAATGTATTTACTACATAAAATACATTATTTTCATCAGGGCAAAGTTCACAAAGCTCAAAAAGGGCAAATGCCCATTTTCCTTTCTTTTAAAAAAAAAACTTTTAACAACGTTCTCTGTAACAATTCCATTCCAACTACTCCAGTTCTGACACCTGGCATTTTGGTCCCACTTCCTTCCACTCCTTTGCTGTGCCAGTCCACCATCCATGCTGCCACCAAGCATATCTTCCCAAAACACAGCTTCCTTAAAAACCTCCACAAGTTTTGGTAATGGCAGTCAAAACTCCTACTCTCAATTCTGCAGCAACGTGATAAAGTAGAGAGGCCTATTTCCTCTTCTACTCTGGTGTCATTCTGCCACTAGTGAAAACTATTCTTGTTAAGTTGTGTCTCTATGGACTTACCTGCAAATTTATTACATCTCTTCTCTAAGTTGGATGACAAACTAGGAATTTAAAAACTATGACACATTTGTGACATAAAGAGTTTTCCAAACACAGCAAGTTTTTAAACCAATACTCAAAGAGAGCTCTGTCCTTTCCCAATGATAGGCTGCCCAAGACCTGACTCTAATTAGGATATTTGGGTTCTTAGAAAGAATAGCAACTTTTTTGTAAAATTAGTACAACAGGCTCCTTATTATGAAATACTCAATGGCTTTGGTTGTATAAAGTTCAAATTACAGATGCCATGATACATGTCAAAACATTTAAAAATTACAGAAACATTTCAAAATGTTAAAGGAACACTATTTTCAGAACCACATTTAAGCAAGAGACAAGTCCCAAAAGCCATACACAAACATGTTTGCCTATATAAAACTACTCCAACTTTTATATAGCAAAAACACATCATGGCCAAAGGTAAAGCAAATGATAAGTGAGAAAAATACATGCAATCTCTGCCAAAACAAGAACATTCTACTCTAAATACATAAAGTTCTTAAATCATACACAGTCTCACTGGAAATCAGGGAAGCAAATTAAGACAACTATTTTCTGCTAGAATGGAGAAAAACAAAGTTCATGGATAGCTGATAAAAATTAACTTATGCCCTGGCTGGTGTGGCTCCGTGGACTGAGCACTGGCTTGTGGACCAACAGGTCACAAGTTCGATTACCAGTCAGGGCATATGTCTGGGTCGCGGGCCTGGTCCCTAGTCTGGGACGCATGAGAGACAACCGCACATTGATGTTCTCTTCCTCTCTTTCTCCCTCTCTCTAAAAATAAGTAAA